ATCCTCTGCTTCTCAGCCAAAGAGGCTTTCTTGGACCTGCATGTGTAGGGAAGCGTGGATTCAGTCCTGCCTTGGAGATGGGACTAGCCTGCTACCACACCCTGGCAATCTGGTGTTGAGAGGCTGCCTCGGAGCTCTCAGAAGGGCAAGTGTCAAAGCATGCTCAGTACCTGAGGCTGTGCCCTGGCTCTTGTCTGGATGGTGCAAGAAGCGTTGCCTCTCTCCAGTGGATCTTGTTTTTTCCTACCCCCCAAACACTTTAAGCAGAAGCTGTTGTTTATCAGACAGCTCACTCTTCGTTCTTTATTTCACAATGAAGACTGATGCTTTAGGAATAATAGTTTGTCTCAACTAAGAATGAGCATGTTAACCTTAAAAATATGTAACTTCTCCCATTCCTAAAGCTGTTATGTTTGTGTCTTGCCACAGGTACTATCTCACTAGTATGTCAGTTTAAGATGTTGACCTTGATCTTCAAAGTCCCTTGAGGTGCAGCTGAAATGATGTCTTGTTCTCTGTGAGCTGCCCAGGGGGACTGTGTTCTTCCGGACTTGACTCGTGGGCAGACGCAGTTGCTGTGGCAGCTGGGTTTGCTGCTTTGGGCCTTCCATAGGAGATTGTACTTGTAAAATATGCTTTGGGATCTGTCCTTCTCACAAGTGGAAAAAATGATGTCTAACCAAGGGAAATAGAGTAAAACCCAGGTTGTAGGACTAATGGACTGTGAAAAGTGGAAGCAATAAGGATGTGAGAACAGCAGAAGAATTCTACCAATACTAAGGTCTCAGCCAGGATTGGGAACCTGCTGTGACAGGCAGCAGATGCATCCACAGAAAGCGACAGCTTACAGTTTAATTACGTTGGGCTGGTGGAGTAGGAAGAAAAAGTTGATGAGGTCAAGAGCAAAATGGGGCTTCCTCCCCTAGTATTCTTGTTTCCAGTTCAGTGTTTTATACTGTAGGTAAATTCAGTGGGGCAATTGGATACGTTCACCTACAGATTTTGTAGAAGTCGCTTTCCTGTTCTTGCTGCTCCATTACTGCAAGGTAACGTGAGATGAGCGCGTTGTCTGGTGTGCTGCTGCTCTTCATCCTCCTTCCTCTTCTGTTAATGACCTGTCTTGGAAAGTTTCATTCTTTTGCTAGCAATTAGGAATTACATTGTTCAGTTATCCCTATGCAGCAATTACTTTTTTGTACTGCAGTAATGTATAGGATGCTTACATAGTGTATGAGTCTGCTTTTGCATCACTCAGCTGAGCACTTTGGAAATATGCAGAAAGCCATCAGAGTGCTGTAAGCATAACATACTCCTGCAGCATATTCCTGCCCAGTGAACAGCTAATTATGGACCTAACCAGTGGTTGGTCAGATAGGTTTTTTTTTTTTTTTTAAACAAGACCTCACTGCTTTTGCAGTATTGTGGCATCTGTGGCCACTTGTCTTTTTGTGCCATAGTCCACTTCCCTCTGACTTTCACAGATCACACTGAAGAGTCACGCTGTCAGCTGAGAGCTGTCATGAATCCTCGGCTTTGTGGTTTGGGCTCAAAGTAGGACACAAAATATGCCCCAGCGCACACACTCAGCAGTTCTCTCCAGGGGTGGGGAGGAAATATTGAGCTTTTTGGTCCTAATGGTGTCATTAATCCTTTCAAGATTCCCAGGGCTCAAAGGGCAGGATAGAAAAAGGAGCAGCAGGATGAACTCTGTTTTGCTTAGCTGTGAATTTATTACTCGTTTTTGAAGGCAGTGCCAAAGGTGTGTGTGCAATATCAAAGCTGTTCACTAGAGGACAGTATTACACATTGCAAAGTATAATTATAATGGAACAATGCTGGAAGAGATTTCTTACAGATTTTGTGTGTGCTAGGAATAGACTGGGGTTGAGGTTATGAAATAATTTACTAGAACTCAGGAGCCATCCAGTCAAGGTGGTTTAATAGACAGCATGTCTTAAGTCACTGTCTACAGACCCTGTCTTGCAAAATCTCTGAAGGATAATGCTGACTACCTTGCTTCTGCATGCGCTTTGTGGGAGGTAGAGGCTGCTGAATAGGTAGGACAGGGAGATAAGGAAGAGTCTCCAGGGAAAAATAGGGAATTTTTTGCATATCAAAACTCTTCTAGTGAGTGGTGGGATGCACAGTGGTAAAGGTAAAGGATGAAAGAAAAGGAGGTCTGGGGCCCTGAACAGGGGAGATATAGGATGAGTATACACTGGGTGATGGGCTTTGCAGGGGAAAGGAAGTAAAGGGCGTTTAGAATAAATACTGCTCAAAGTGCTGCTGCTCCTGCCTGCTGTGATATCAGAGCTTTCAGCAGAGGGCAGGACTGTTGCTTTATTCTATCACTGTTCCATCAGCTGTCTCTTCATGCAAGGGACAGAAGCTCCCACATAGAGCAAAGAGTGTGAAATGAAAGATAAGGAGGCTGGGTTATGCAAAAGGAAGTGAGCTTCAGCTTTTGTGACCATCTTTATGCAAGTGGGGATTTTGGCAGTTGATGTGGCCTTGCAGGGCAGCCGCTGGCTTGTTGCTGCTCTTAATGTTGTGGGTTGTTGTGGTTTTTGTTTTTGTTTTTTTTTTTAACAATTTATTGTTTTATCCCTGAGGGGAAGCTGACCTTGAGTGACAAGCAAGTAAAGCTGTGACAGGATTCTTGCTTGCTTTAGATTTGTTGATGAGACAGAGAAAGCTGTTGAATATCCAGGTCTGAGAGGATGCAGGACAGAAACAGCCTTTCCGTGAGGCCCTGATTCTGGCAGGAGGCAGACGTGGTTCATAAAGCTAAGGTGGTAACTGTGATAAATACCCGATGGGCCACTGGAACCAGTAGCTGTGACTGGTCACACCTGCAGTCCCTCTGCTCTTGGCAGTACCAGCTGGCAAAGCTCATCCCACCTTTTGCTTCACAGCTGTGACTTCCAAGGCCTTTTAGTGCCTTCTGTGTTGCAGAGGAGAGGAGCACTGCAGCATTCCTGAGCAAGGTCACTGCTCTTTATCCTTTATGTTAAGCAGCCCTAAAACTTCTCTGGCTTTGCAGAAGGGATCAGGTGAGGAAAACTCTTCACTGCAGGCTCCTGTGCTCCCGTGGGCTTTCTCTATCCATCCCTAGGCCTTGGGGTCTCTTCTTAAACTACTTACAAGGAGAGCATGGAGAACAAAACCTTGCCAGCAGCATGTGGCATTTCACTGGTGTTTATGCCAAGTCCCAGGCTGACATCCTGACATTGCTGACATCCCTGAGTGCTTCCAGCTCAGCCTTTAGGATCTGGGCAGACACTGTCATCTGCTGCTTTGCTGCTTGGGACTAGCAGCATGCTCCGAGTCCGAGGCCCTGGTGACTCTGTCTTGGCTGGGCCTGGAGCACCCCAGTGCTCTGTCAGCTGGCTGCCTGAGAAGCACGTGTCACTTGGACACACATGCAAAGGAAGCTTAATACCGCAACTGTGGCTTGGTTATGAGACCAGAGGTGATGGATTCCCGTGTCCCTGGTCTCAGCATCACACTGAGCAACCACAGCTATGGGTAAGCCTCCTCGGTTTGCTGCCCTAATAAAATAGAGACAACCGCCTTAGCTGGGTTAGCCAATTCTTGGAAAGTATGGTGTCTTGCAAAATATGTTAGTAAATGCAGAAAACTCGATGGTAGCTAGAAATGTAGAAGCTCTCTTACTCCCAGTTTGTCAGGCAGATAAATCCAAGAAAGAAATGTACAAAGGATGTTAGGTTTGTTCAGGGTTCTCTGTTTGTGCAGTAGGCATATTCCTGATAATTGCTGCTATCTTTTTTTTTTTTTTTTTTTTACAGGTAGAGTACTTGCTACAGGTCCACTTAATCTCTCCTGCCTCATGCCACTAACACTTGTGAATGTCCTTAAGATTCCTTCAGTCAGTCTTCCCCCAGCTGTCCAACCTGCTGTAAGGTGCTGGCTTTATCAGACTGGGTAAGTCAGGGGTGGGAAAGAAGCAACAAAACCATACAGTTGGCTCCCTTTGCACAGTGGGAGTTTCTCTGTCCACCCTTCTCAGAATCTGCACTACTTTTGACAGCATCTTGTCCCTCTTGAGCAACAGCAAGTGCCATACCTTGATTTTCATGGGAGGCCACAAAAATGAAATCCCACTGTGTGCCTGGGAAATCCTACTATAGCAAGTGTAGCATGGTTATTGCCACTTCTAACTAGTTGTGAGTTTCTGCCTTTTTGACTAAAATTAACCTTGCTCATGTCAGCTCTTCTCACAAGCCATTCTCCTCCTGGTTAGCCAGCACATATCTGACACCAGAGCTCCTTTTCTCCTCTGTTGTCCACACATAATTCCTTCATTCCAAGGTCAGGAGCAGGCACTCATTTTTGCCTTGTTTGCCATTTAACCTTGTGTTCTACTTTCTGGCCGTTCCCTGCAGCTTCATCATTATAATCCCCACTTTACACATCTCTCCCATTCTGTGTTCCCACAGTATCTTCAGTAGACCCAAGTGAAGCTGGAGAATATTGCCATTCTGAGGGACTCTTGTGAATGTTTTATTTCATCTGTCTGTGGAATTTCCATCTGCTCTGCTGGTCTGTCTCACTTTTCAGGTTGACATTCAGAAGAACCCATAAGAGAAAGGAAAAAAGTTAAAGACTGGACAGGGCAGCCAGTGGTCCCAAAAGTGGAGTCTGTATAGAGCAAAGAGTAAGTTTATTTTACGTGGTATTTGGCCCATTGCATGAAGGGGGCAGTCTCCTTGTAGCTGAAGCCTGAGTTGTTCTGTAACCACATCTGCTGAAATAGTTTGAGTGTCGGCTGGCAATGCCTGCACTTTGTCAAAGAGAACATTTAAGGAAGTTCAGTTGCGGAAGTGCTACGAACAGTGCGCTTCGCAAGTACAACTCTGAGGAGTAGGTCCCTCCTGGAGAAGACGGTGTGTGTGCATGACTGCCCACACGGGCATCTCAACCCATCGCAAGCTTTCCTCTAGATGACCTTGGGCTGAGCTCCGTGTGCTTGCTTGGAGAGCTGTTGATTTACAATGCAGATTCATCGGTCCTCGCCTGCCTGCCCCTGCCCCTCCTAAATTTGGCTGGGATATAAGAGGCTGTTTGCTTTCTGATGCCAACAGTGGCAATGGCAGAGTGCCCTGCCATGTGAGAGACAGAGATAGAGGAGAGGGGGCCAAGGAGGAGCAAACTGTGCAGCTGCTCTTGCCTCTAGTAGCTGAGGAGCACATCGACGGGACAGAATGTCAATGCTTACCCCTGTCTTGCAGCCTGCGGAGGTGAAGGAGTATTTATCCAAGGGCGAGCGCTTCATCAAATGGGATGATGTGAGTATTGGGATTTGTGCTTCACTAGATTGTATGTGGTGGCAGGGCAGATACCGTGTTCTGGTCAGGCTTGGTGGGGAGGCTGGGAGCCTGTATTCACTGAGGGGGGATAGGATGCTGTGTGTCGGACCTGAGAGCAGTGATGTCTTGGTGGGGAGAGTGAACTGAGAACAACAGGAGAGCTGAGGACTCAAAACAGAGGAACATATGCTTTAGGGGTTGGGGACATGGCTTCTGCATGTCTTGTTGTAGAAGATAGAAGTAAATGGTCTGTGTGTGCAGCTTCCCTGGTGCAGGACCCCAGGGTCCTGTCAGTGTTTGAACCAGCCCTCAGGAAGGTGGTCGCTGCTGGGAGCCTCCTTGGGGCGAGGGGCATATGCTGCCTTCGGACTCGTCTGGAGGAGCGTGAGGGGTAGGATTTACTTCAGAGCTGAGCGGCCTCTCCATGTTTTGCAGATAGAGAGGAAATCAGGCTCCAAGTTTCTTCCTCTTATGGCCGTGTTGCTGGAGCTGATCTGAGGGTGAGCCATGTCCTCCCACGCCTGCCCGGCTCATGGGTCTGTGAGCTACCAACTGCGCAGCAGCTGAGCAGCAAGGGGCCTGTGCTTTAACCTTGGAGGGTGCTGAGAGAAGCTGTTTCTCTCTCCAACTTGGTGTCCTCTTGTATCTTCCAAACGCTTGGTTTGCAGTCTCTGTTTGCCTTTCATTGTGAGGGAAAAGGTGTGGAGCAGCAGAAGAGAAGTTAATTTGAATGAGAAAGTGAGGAGGGGCACTATTAAAGTAAGCAAAGGGGTATTTACATTAATACCCACATACCTGAGCAAGAGGACAGTGGCTGCCCATCTGTTTTCTCAGGAGTATGAATTGTTTGCTATTGAGCGTGAATGTTGGTAAAACAAGGGGCAGGCCAGGTTATGATTATTCACCAAGATCTGGAGAAAACATTTGATGTGGTATTGCAAATGTGTTGCATTAGAAGGAACCTCCAGCAGCAATGAAGGAGGGATTAGTGCTTACTTTTGTGGGCGTAAAGCTGGAATAGAGTTTTAAGTTCCAAGGCAGTGTGTGTGGGGGAGGTAGATCACTTGTTTCCAGCATAAGCATGAGTGGTCCAGCAGCACTGAGAAATGAGAGCAATGTAACATACAGCTGACAGAAAGGATGGATGCTGAGGAAGGCAGGTTGGCATGTCACCAGGCAGTTATTCCACTAGTTGTACATAAACAGGATGATGATACCAGGGTATGGTAGAAAGCGCAGACTGCCCTTTCTTTGCAGGGGGGCCACTGCCTGGAGAATGCACTTTTGGCTGCTTTGGATTTAAACAGTGATTTGGTTTCTGAGAAGAACAGTAGCCAAAATTGTCCAAAATTGCTGCTGACTTGCTATGCTCTGTCCCTGGGGACCACTTTCCCAGAAACTTGAAGCTGTTAAGTACTTCACCAGGAATTCCTGGGATAGTTGGACTCCCTTGAAACCCAGGGTGAGTCAAGCTGGGCTTTGAAGACCCACCAAATGTTTATTTGCTGCTGCAACCATAGGAGTTAGGGAGCTCAAGTCCTGTGTGGATTTTTTCCTGAGGTTTACAGATTTGTAAACATTCCTAAAAGGTTGCCGCTAATTACTAAGTAGTTCATAGGCTTGATCTCCAACAATAATAAGACAGTTAGAGCAGGTTGCAAAGGATGGCGGCAAGAGCTCCAGGCTGCAGGATTGCTGCTCTTTAGAGGTCATAGGCCTGTGGGTTTTTTGTCTCACTCTTTGAATTGACCTGGCCATCCTGCTGGTAACAGTTTTGAACTCCTTCCACAGTATCTGAGGCAAAGGAATGAAGGTAGATCAGTCTGGCTCCTTAGACTGGACCAGAGCCTTCACTGTACCCAACAGTTTCTTGAGAAAAGCAAAATCACACTTTTTCTGTAGTGCCTTCACCTTGTCCAGCATTTGTAATGTATCCTCTAGAGGAGAGTGCAGGAGAATTTCTGACAGGCAGGGCTGTTCTGACCTGTCCCAATGAGTGAGTTGCAACATCTTGGGGTAAGGAGCAACTCTGCTGTGCTTTGTTTAGCATCCAGCAAGCTGGGGTTGCCAAGCAGACAAAAGAGTTTAAGTCCTACTATGTGGATGATGGTTTATTTCAAGAACCAGCTTGGAGACCCTTTCAAAACCTCAGGTAGGGCACAAGGTAGTAGCTGACCTCATAAGTGGAGCAGATACATGTGGATTTGGATCTATACTGACTCTTAGCCCTTGTAGTAGAAGCAAAAATCTTCTTCTCTCTTAAAGATTGTGGAATACGGGATTTTACCAGACAATACTTGCTTTCTGGAGTTGTACTCCATAGTGTGAGCAGCAGCCAGTTTGTCTGCCAGACCATCTTCTGTAGAACTCACCATTTCCTTTGTTGCCAGGAGTCACCCCGTAGGAGACTACCTGCACCCCACAGCCCTCCACATCCCTGATCAGGAGGGCAGCTGTCAGCAGGCCTTATTGCAGCCTCAACTTGCTTTCAAGAAAGCTGCTTCATAGGAGATAAGGTTAAACTAGAAACATGGCACAATCCTCGGTAGTAGTACTGCAGTGCTTGCTCTGCCCTATGTGGCTTGCGGCCGTGCATTCAGGGAGCTAATCAAGAGCTCTGGGAGCATGGGCGTGATGCTGTGCAGGTCAGCTTTGTCACAAGTACAGTGTGAGAAGGACAGGGAGGAGTAAAAGGAGAACATACAGTGCACTGTGACATGGGCAGTTTACTGTAATGAAGATTACTGAATAGAAATGGAGGTCCCTGGAAATACAGATACACCCTGAAGTATGAGTTCACTAACAAAGTGAAGAACCCAAGGCCAAGTGACAAATCTTCCAAATTCCATTATGGGTTTACCTCTCAGTAGCTGGGTATTTCAGCTTCTTCAATTGAATTTGAAGCCTTCCTAGAAATGGCCGATAGGTCTTATGATGTTATCTTCTGTGGCACCAGAGGTCAAACACAGTGTGGAGTCATCTAGACTGAATGAGCAAATGGGCAGGGACCCAAGCAGAGGCACCAAGCATCCTTTATCTCAGTCTCCAAAGAGCTCACCCTAATTCATCTCTCAGCACAGGTTTGCGTGTGAGATGGGAATGGATGTTGTCTTGAAAATGTCTGTGAAGTTGTCTTTACCTGCAAATGCAGAAGCAGTATAATTATTCAGAGGCAAAGTATACAGCCTCACAGCAGCCAGTGTCCCCTTGGCAGGACATGGCTTGGTTCTGAGCTGGAGGGCCTCTGTTGAATGGGGTTCAGGATCAGCCCTGAATAATTTCGTCTAATTTTGTGCCTGTAGTGTGGGTGTGGAAATAGCTGCTGCTTATTATAGTCTGTGTAGAGCTAGTTCATGGAGATTAAGAATCACCACGTAAAGCGGACTCATCTGCTGTATTAGACAGACTCCTCTTTGAACTCTTCCTGACTTGGCCCATTTTCTGTAAAGAGAGCCTGGATAACTAGCATGAGCACCTGGGTGGTAGATGCCTTGGGTGAATGCTGTCTCTGGCCTCAGCAACTTCTGGAGCTAGGAGAACAAAGTGGGTGCCTTAGAGGGAAGGCAGTTCAAATGAAACAATTGCATCTGTGGGTACTTTCTCCTCTTAATTCATTGTATAGAAAGCTCCAAGAGAGTTGTTCTAGCTAAATACATAGTGTTAGGTGAGACTCAGGCTTCAGCAGAGTTCAGCTTCCAGAGCCTCACAGTATTACTCTGGAGATGTAGTAAAATCACCTGGCTCGTTTCCATAAATCACAGAGGATGATTCACCTGATTTGGGTCTATATTTGAACTGGGAACCTTATGTCTCATGATGGGTTCTCCAAGCCATCTAAGGTGCTAACCTTCTTTCTTCTGTTTTGTGGCGTTTTTTTCTTTTGATTTTGGTTTTCTTTTTTGCGTGTGTGTGTTTGGTTTGTTTTGTTTGTTTGTTTTTTGTGTTGTTTCTGTTTTGTTTTGTTTTTGTTTTTTTGTCAGGAAACAGCAAGTGCTGCTCCTGTGATTCTTCGAGTGGATCCAAAGGGCTTTTACTTATACTGGACCTATCAGAATAAGGTAAGTGCTAAGAGTTCACAGCTTGGTTTCCAAATAGCCTGTTCAAGTTTGTGTGAGATTAAAACACCATAAGTGCTCGAGCTCTGCACTCAGGATCAAACTACCGCACTAATTCCACTTCGTAGGAAACCCCCCACAAAGGACCTGGGAGTCTCATGCTTATTCAATGGCAGATTTGTCTGACTTCAGAGTTACAGAAAAGAGCAGGAAATTAAGCTGCGAACATGCCAGAGAGATGAGCATGGCCTTTTTGTGCTTGTCACACTGGCATCGTACACCTGCAAAGTTCATCAGATGTGCTTCAAACGTTTTCACAGAGAACAGTAACAGTGATATCCCTGATATCCTGCATGCTAAAGATTCTCCCAAGCACTATGATGATGCAGTTGGAAAGAAAATGGCTAAACATATGCAATTAAACGTATGCAGCTTCAGCTAACATGTACCTTGTGTGCAGCCTGTGTTGTAATTAACTGACTTGTTGGGGTTTTTGAAATTTTTAATTAAAAAAAAAATAGTGACTGTAGTGATGTAGAGACTACAAGTCTGGAGAGCAAGTTGTGCTCCTCTCAGGCCAGGGTGGTGTATGCACACTGCTGGAGATAAACCACAGGATGCTGGCTGCTGGAGGAGAGAGAGGCAACAAATTTAGGAAAGAGAATTCTGTTCCTTGCTGATGAGTAGTAATGAGGGGTGGGGAGATGGGGCTGACTGGAGGTGGAAGGCTGGGCTTACTTCTGCTTTCCAGAGCAGAGCTGTGGTTCAGCTCCATTTCCTCCTCGTGACCTACATGCTGAAGAGGCATGGTAGATAAAGAGGCAGAGACAGAAGTCCTGCACAGTGCCCTGACCAAGAGAGCTGATGTGTTTTGGTGGGCTCCTCTTCAGAGATTGTGCCCCAGTGCCAGCTGGGGCAAGGCACTGCCCCACAGCCGCATCCTCCAAGAGCAGTGCCATATGGCTGGGGACTGGCACATCCCTCTAGTTGTACTCTCCTCTTGGCCATCTCTGTCATACTCATTCCTCTTTTGAGGTCTGCTCCTGGCAGTAGAATTTTTGCTTCAAGGGTTCCAGCAGACAGCAGGAAGAAGTGGCAGCACTGGAGGAGATACACAAAATGGGGCAAGGGGAGCTGTTGTCACCCATCAAAAGTGAGATTTTACTGTGTTAGTGGTATGAGGGATATAATTACCTTGAAAAGGGACTGGGGTAAGGAAGCATAGCTGACATGAGGAAACCCAGACTGGAGGGGTCTCATGTTCCTGGAAAATACCACTGATTAACACCTAAAATAAACTGTAAACAAATTTGAGAGCTGCAGTGGAGCAACAGCCTGGTTTACATCCTTGGGGAAGCACTTGTCTGGCATCTTTCCTATTCTTGGTGAGAATCTGCAGACAGTGTGAGCTAGCAAGTGTGGTGGGCAAATGCTGGCTGTCAGAGGGAGCTGGGGCAGGCTTGTGAAGGTCCCGTGCAGGTTGGCTTGAGCACAGCAAACAGGGACAAGACATGGACTGATACAGCACATGGTGTGGTATGGTCAGTAGTTTGCCTGTTGAATTAGTGTGGCTTGTTAGTCTTTGGCTGACTCCTCTCAGGATCTGCTTGTCATGAACAGCAAGGAAGAAAAACTGCACTGTATTTGCATTGGGGATTCAGAAAGAAGTGGGATCAGGAGTAAAATTTCCATCCTGTCTGACAATAAAATGGGGATACAGCCAGAGGACATGATATCCACATTGTTCCTTATTGTGATCTTGGAAAATAGTATTATCTGCTGCAACAAGTATGATTTGTTCTCCAGACCCATGGTGAGCAGACAAATTAGTAACAGAGGAAGGAAATTCAGGTTGAATATTAAAAGAACAAACAAAATAAACATGACAGCTAGCCAGTAGTGAGGACGTGGAGCGGGCTGCCTAGGGAAGGTTGTGAAATGTCCTCCATGGGAATTGCTTCCAAACAGATTAGGTGAAGGTCTGCTGGGGGTGACCTGGGGAGAGGTGGTCTGTCCTGCCTGCCTTCAGCTCAGCCGCTCTGTGTTGAATGTATGGAGGCAGAGGTCAGGCTGAGAATGTCAGTGACAGGAGACTCTGGGTTGTATTAACACATGGATGGTAACTGGGAGAGAGTTTCCCCACATAAACCTGTAGACATGTCATACACTCCCTCATGGTAATGCACACCGAGCCTCTGGCCTCACCTGAGGAGGATGGTGCTGCAGACCACCGCTGCCTCTGCACTAGCCAGCCTGCCAGCCTCAGCGGCCAGTGTTGCCCTGCCTCTGTTGTTCCTGGTGGGAGAGCCCTTCCCCAGTGAAGGGTGCTGGCTGAGACCTGCTTTGCAGCTTCTAGAGGCTCTGCAATGGATTTCCTTCCTCCTTTGTCTTTCCTCATCTTCCTTGTCCTTATTCTGTTGTAGGAAATGGAAATTTTGGATATAACCAGCATCCGAGATACCAGAGTAGGACGATTTGCTAAAATCCCCAAGGTGAGTGTGTAGCTTCATTTCTGCCGGTGGTTCATATGGGGAAGGCAAGGCTGCCTAGGGCTTTGGCATAAGCTGAGACAGTTTACCCTGGCTTTCTGTTACAAGAAGGTGGAGAGGACCTTGTCTCCTTACACCACAGCTACATTAATACAGAAAAGCTATCTTTACTCTTGTTCCTGAACTCCCCAGGAGTGCACCCAAAAGGTAGGCACATCCAGACAATGGTAGATGAGTTTGTTGTAAAGAATATGCCAGAATGCTGGGAAAACAGCAATTCCCCTCCCGAGTGCCTGCCACAAGACTCGTTTTCTGTTGTGCACAGCGGCTGGGCTCTCTCCTTTGCCATGCGTGGAGCGAGCTTTAGTCTTGGCCTGGCCTCTGCGTGCACTGGGCTACACTGGGGAGTCCTGCAGGAGACTTGTGATGCTTCTGTATTGAGTCACCAGAGCAAAGATGCATGGGCTGGGTCAAGGCAGCTACAAACCTGTCGTTACAGTGAGATTCCAACACAGTGTGTGGTGGGGTTTTTTCCCTTTAAAGGGAAGAAAATGTACTTTCAGAAAAACTAGTGTTTCTTTTTTTTTTTTTTTTTTTTTCCCCAAATAACTTTTAATTCTCTGCTTGCAGGGTGGCAAACTAAGGGGAGCACATGGTTATGGCTTTGTTCATGGTTTCAGTTATTATTTCAGCTTCCTGCAGCAAAGTTGTCCTTGTTAGGACTTTTTTCTGGGTCTGTTTTTTGTCTGTTAACTTCTCCATGTATGGAAAAGGCAAACAGAAAATTGAAGTAAAGCTAGAATGTGAAAAGGAAACAAAGGAGTAAAGATAATGGCTCCATATGGTAACATAGGTGATTCAGTCTAATGCAAAAGGGGAAGATTTTGCAACATATACTGAGATACACAAGCAGCTTCTTTGCGTAAGTAGAACAGCTGCTTTCTTAATACTGCTCTGAAAATGTCTATTCAGAGCTCTCCAAGACTGATGTTTCTCAAAAGACCGTAATGAGGTGGGTACTAAAAGCACAGCAGAGCTCAAGAACAGTACCCGTCTTACAGAATTCTTAAAAATAATAATTCCTTCTGAGAAACCACATTTCTTCTTGGAAATTTACTAAAATGAAACATTTGAATTTTCAACAAGCCTAAAACTTTGTCTGCAACTTGATTTGTGGGAATAATGTTTGAAAAAAGACTCTCAGAAGTGTTGGTTTTGTTTTTTGGTTTGGTTTTTGGAGTTTGTTTTTGGTTTTTTGTGAGAATTAAATATTTGGAGCTGATGGAGCTAGGTGCTACACTCCAGGCAGAATGCAGTAAGGAAAAGGCCAGCTTGGAGGAGAGGCATGCAATACTATTTTCTAGGGTGTTAAACTTTCATGAATAACCTGTTTACAGAATGAATTCAGCTTTGATACAGATTATAAATTGATGGTGTAAATACTGAGGCCATAGGTGGATGTCTTTCTGGTGGCAACAGCCAGGCTGGAGAATAATGTCCTAGATTTTGGCAATTAGTTAAGGAACACTAGTGGGAAACTACCAGGAGAAACATGCCAGCACAAGTGCAGTGTCAGAGTTGCCTCTAGACAAGGAATTTCTACTCGAACAGCGCCTCTCTGCAATGAGCCCCTGCTCACAGACAAGGAATTGTCCTGGAACTAGGAACAACTCTAGTTTAAGATTAATTCACATTAGAGTTTTGGGATGACCACATTCCATATTCAGTTAAAAACTAAAATGGCCTTTTAAAGGAGAGTTTTAACAAAAGCAGAAAGTAGTTTGTGTAAAGAATGAGGACGTTCGTGAGCTGTACCAGGGTAGCAAAAAGCAAAAGGGAACAGGGAAGCAGTGGCTGTCTGCCACAGTTAGCTCTAAATCTTTTCAATAAAATTGGAAAGTGGATCGTGTGATTCCTATCATAAGCAAAGATTCTTAAAGAACAGAATAAGAGAGGACATCTTTGCATGGGAAAATTGCTGCTGGAGAGTAAGAAAAAGGTCTCTTGAGGGAGAGGGAACCATCAGACTCTCAGAAAGATCTGTGCTTGAGGCTGTGACTGACTGTGTTCATATGTGATCTGCAGAAGAGGCATAGAGAGACAAGACCAAGTTTGCCAATGGTACCAAATTACTCGGGGTAATAAAATGAGGGCTGATTTGTAGAAAGACCTTGAATTACTGGTTGACTGGATGATCTGATAGGTGATAAAATTTAGTACAGATAAAAATCAGGCGATGCACACAGAAAAACCTCCCATCCTAACCTTCTGTAATAACAGACTCCGAGTTGACTCTTGCTACTCAGAAACAAGATGATGAGGGTATAGTAAAATACCAATGCAGCGTTCAGTAGTATTTGCTCAAAGTTGTATGTTAGGAATTATAAGGAAAGGATTAGGAAATCATGCCACTGTCTGCACCCTGAATGCACTCATATTTCTGTGCATTTCTAGTGTCTGCATCTCAAATGAGACAAAGAACTGGAAAAGGTAGAGAAGAGCAGCAAGATTAACAAAAGTATGAAATGGCTACTGTAGGAAGAGCATCTGAGTAGGCAGGGACCGTAGTCTGGCAAAAACAAAGATGAGGAAGATGTGCTGGAGTATTATGGAGTGCTGTAAAACCAGGGGTTGAATGGAGAAGGTGAGCACAGAGCAGTTACTCAGTGTTTCTTCCAGTGTGAGAGCCACACATCAAGTGGAATTTTCCAAAGGCAGGTTCAGCACAGGCAGAAGGAGGTACTGCTGGTTTATACCTCGTGTTACTGCACTGTGGGATGCCTTCCTGCACCAGTTGTGAAAACATATGTGAGTTTAAATAGTCAGGACAAGAAGGAAATGCCCTTTGAGGGTTATTAAATGGAAGGTAATGCCTCTGGTTTGGCAAGTTGCTGAATTGTAAATTTCTGTAAGCTGCAGAAATGTGTCAGGGAAGTATCACTATTTGCCCTGTTCTTATACTTTTCCCCAGGCATGTGGATGGATCTGTGGTCTGACCTGGTGTAGCTGTTGTATTCTAGCCATTGTAAGAGGACAGAGACAGTATTTTACAGTCCTGGGAATTGGCTACAGCTCGTTTTTCAGAAACAAAGGTCAAGCATCAAATGATTTATTAAGTATTCTCAACAGGCAGAAGTGATGCACTTGATGACAACCTCTGCTGTGAAAATCCCAAGTGCTTTTTGAATTAATTTCAGATAAACCCATTTAAAATAAGTCCCCTTTTTATTTTAGGGAATTTTCTGGCATTTCTATGGAAATATCTAGTAAAATGCACTAGACTGGCTCCTTATCCACCTTTCTCTTATGGGATAATGGGAGGTCTTGTGTGGGCACCAAAATGGCCATTGAACCAAAATGGTGGGAGAGATGTGCCGTCCAGTCCTGGAAATGTCCTATTTACACATGGCTGTACCATGCTTCGGCAGGGCTTGCTTAAAGCCCTCAGTTGTGTATTCAGTTGGCTTTCCTCAGAACAGAATTTGCTCAAAGGAATGCAGAAAACAGTGAAAATTTCTTAACATGAATTCCCACACTCTCCACATAGGGCAGCTATGCCTGGTGCTTCGTTACAAAGAAGCATAAATATGAAAAACTGGTGTGAGGAAGCAAAGATCTGTTAGAGGTGAAGGGCAGAAGAATGACAAAGGGTGCTGTCTCCCCCGTTACAAAATAACAGCTCGGAATGGTTGTGGTATATAACCACTGAAATTAGTACAAATAGTTACTTGTTTCATTGGCTAAAAGTGGAGGAGAAGGAGCTAATGGGTGATAGTTAAGACAAAGAGAACAAGATCGCAGCTGTTGGAAGAGCTTTGGATAGTACCACCTAGAAATCAGGCATCCTTTTCTCCTCACCTTCCTTGCAAGTGGCACCATGACAGACTCACAGCCTCTCTGAAGCAAAGCTTGTGATCTGGTTTTCCTACTGACTCGTGGCTGAAGGAATCTGCAAAGAAGGACAGTGCTTTGCTGAGGGCATCTGTGCTGTTGCTCTCCCCCGCCAAGGTACTGTGCTCTTCCTGGCTGTAGTTCAAGCAGCATGAGGGTGAAACATGCCCTGAGCTCTTCGACCCATGTAGGTGAAATGAGTCTCGCTGCTAACGAGTGGTGGTGGTACTGTGGATGTTGGTTGGGATTTACTTGCCTTTAGTAACATTCTCCATCTGCTGCTAAGCAAGAGGTTTGGGGTTTTTCTTTCTAACCTCTCTATACAGAGCAAGAATAACACCAAAGCTCCCACGCAGAAAACCACTTCTGAAAAGATGTGCTGTCACAGGCGCTCAGTCACCAGTGCAGGTCACAGCAAGCTGGGAGGCAGGGCCTGGTGAGACCCGCGTCCCGGCGCAGTGGAGTGTTCAGGGAGTAGGTCGGCAGCCTGTAGTGCCAGCACGGTGTGTGGCACTGAAAAAGGGACAAGTCCCTAAGGGTTGGCAGCAGTAGGAGCCACCTCCAGATGAGAAGGGCCACTGCTTTGCCCCAGAAGGAAACAATTCCTGGAGCTGAACCTGCCAAAAGGTGAGGCACAGCCGTGTTCTCACTGGGAAAGACTCTTGTCTCTCGTGCCCTGCTGCCGAGCCCTCGCCTCCTGGCATGTTAGCACAGAAACCTGCATACAGCCCTCGAGTCCCTCCTGTGACCTTTCCTGTGCATGTGCAGGTTTCCCCTTTTCACCCCCTTTGCTACAGTTTCTTTTGAGAGCTACTCAGTGTTCTGCAGTGTTTTTTCTCCATGGAAATTTTTTTGAGAGACAGGGCAGGATGAACTTTGGCACATGTTCAAAAGTAATAAAGATAAGAATTAGCAGGCACTTTGAACATAAATGAGACAAGATAAAAAGCTATTGAATGTAGTTCAGCAGCATGCCGAAGCAGATCAAGATGTTATTTACAATGCAATTCTGTGTTTTCCTTTGAGTAACAAAGAGCAATAATGGCTGCTCCATTTTGTTGTGGTTTTTTGTTTTTTTTTGGTTTTTTTTTAATGGTACACCAATACCCCAGAACATTGTCAGGGAATGTAATAATTAGGACCAAAATACATGATATTTTAGGCCAAACTGCTGGGCTGTTGGCTTCATCTTGGGTTTTGTTTAGACATTTCAGCAGGCATTGGCTTTGAAACAAGCATAATTTTTCATAAAAACAGAAGTTGTATTTTCTGACTGTCATGATTATAGAACAGTTTCATCCTCCATACGCATTTTGTTGTTATTGAACCCAGAGATGCAGACTCTGAACTGAACATGTACAAGAGATAAAATTATATCAAGGTATTTCACACGTCCTGTTTTGAGATGACAAAGTCGGAGTGAGTGGTGCTTAGGAACCACCAGGGCAGAGAGCACTCATGTTGCACGGGGAGCTGAGCAGGGCGCTGAGCCATGGGCTACAGCCGCATTATGGGTGGTCAGTGGTTCTGGTGCACAGCGGGGGAAGGCGACAGCTCTGGGCATTAAGCATCATCTCTGCCCTTCGCTGTGGATTCAGCAATGCATGGGAGCACAGGGTGGAACTAAACAAAGTCTGATGTTCAGGCCTCCGCATAAGAGAGTGATCACAAGAAGCTGTATGGAAACAAACGGATATGTGTGCATGCCAGAGGAAAGTGGGTAGAAGCACATGGCTTGTAAAGGATTTATAAATAGTGAAGCAGGGGCCAAGCAAGGAAACAGTCACATCTGACTAATGGCCTTTTGCTGTGCTGGGCCCTTTTTCAGCTTCTTCCATCTTTCCACAGTGTGAGCCTTTAGACCACAGGGACAGAAGTTACTGAGGATGAACAGTCTGCATCTCTCCCTTGTGGTCTGTTCCTGCTCGATTCCAGAATGCCGCAGGTTATTTTGTGCCATGTGAATCTGTGTGCCTCTGCATTTTCCGGTTCCTTTAGATAAGACGGCAATGAGAGCTGAGAGTGCTTCGTCTGCTTATTTTTTTTTTTTTTCTGCCTCGTCTTGCTGAGATGCTTTGCACAGAGACAGGCTGGCCCCTGCGGTGCAGACGGTGGCAGGACAGCCCTCCCTGCTGCACAGCAATTGGTCCTGCTGCTGAATCCCATGACAGAGCAGTGCTGCTAACGAGGACATGAGCATTACCTGCAGAGCCAAAGGCATTTGAATAATCTTGGTGCTCCCTTTCCTTTCTGATAACCAAACAAGACCTTTTTTCTCTGAAAGAGAGGACTTGTTGTCACGTCCTGTCTTCTGATACCACAAGCACTGCATCACGTAGCGTGTTTCATGAAGACAGAAAATTGTCAGAGTGTGGTGAGCGCGTGCAGCTGTGGCAAATCCCAACTGTCATTCGGCTGTATCCCATTTCGAGTAGAGAAAGGGCTGTCTCTCACTGCCTCTTACATTAGGCCTGGCTCTTTGTTTATATTTGCATGAGAATTTGCTTTTCTCTGGACTATGAATCTGGTTTATACAGATGAGGATTTTAGGGAAATCAGGAGGGTGGGAAGTGAAATGAAAGCTGAATCTGTGTTTCGGCCACTCTGCTGCTGGGTTGTTTTCTGTTTGCTTGGTGGGGTTTTTTTAAGTGGATTTGCTAAGCATGTTTCCCTTCCTCTCATTTGCATGGCTAATATGGTTGTCCTGCATTTCACGTAGCAATTCCTATTTTTCCTTTATGGCCACCTGCAACATGACGCTAAGTAATAACGTAGTCAAGCTGTAGCAGCAGGGTGCTAAAGGGGTGGTTATGAAGGAGCTGTGGCATCAGGTTCTGTGCCCTTGGACGGGGTCCCTGGTCTTCTCTGACCATCTTCATTCAGTGTTATGCCAACATCACTGCATTTATCCCATGGGAGATAATCCCCATGTAAAGTAGGCAGCACAAAGTGAGCGAGTGACTCACTTAAGGCCAGGCAGGAAGGCAATGGCTGGGAAAATATGACCTAATTTAGATCCCTAATGAGATCATCCTTTCCTCTCCCTGCTGCAGTTTGCTTCTAATAATGTGAAGCTATCAACTTCACCGAGGTGTTGGGAGGTGTCGTAAGTTAATGCTGATAGAGGGCATGGCGTATAGAAAGCTGCACAGGCTACAGCTAACCGTGAGCAACTTCTGAGAAGGTGGTCAGATATCAGGCCATTACCAAACACGGCATGTGTCAGGTTTGTCTGGCAGAGCACAGCTTGATAAAGGCAAAAGTTCTGATGCAGCATTCAGCTTGGGAGGGATGTAGTGTGAACGAAATGTCTGCTGGAAAGCAGAGCGACACCAGCTTGCTGAGAAGGAAGGGCTGGGAGGAGCCGATTTGTAACAAATACAGGAAATGAGTTCAGCATAAACCACAAGTTCTCTATTGTCTTAGCATCATATAATTTACGACACTAGAGGTAAGGAAGCTGAACAAATGCCAGCAGGTTTGCAAGATTTGTTTTTCCTAAAGATGCTTGTTTGCTACAGATGTGTAACAGTTGCAAATGCTCCAAAAATTTGGAAAAATGCAGTGGAAAAAATCTGTGGAGTTCCTTATATACATGCAGCTCTGTGTGTGACATGGTGAAGACACATAGGAATGCCTGAAGCTGAGATGCCTGGGAGTTTCTGCTATTACAGTCCAAATGTAAAGAGAAAATTCTGGGGCAGAAATGGAATTGCTTCCATGTGAATTGCAATGGGATGCAAACAGATGGTTGAGTATTGGGGGTTTTTAGTTGGTTTGGGCTAAACTGAGGTCCATGGAAGCCTAAGATCAGGGAATTCTTTCTTCAACTTGCAAGGATCCAGACATTGTCCAGTTAGTAGCAGCTTAACAGGTCACTAAACATGAGCTGACCTGCAGCGACTGACTTTGTACATGCTTTAAGTTTATAGCAAACAGAAAGGTAAAGTCATTTAGCTAAAACCTCTTTTGCTGAAGTTGACGTGATATGTAACGTGTTAAGGTGTTATTGATGTTTTTTTAACTTGTGGAAACGCAGTAGCTCAGCCATGTGTCTACCTGTATGTAGATTTGTGCACACAGGGAGAGCTCAGATTCCAGTTCCAGTTAAACCTGTGAGTCTGACCTGCTCTACTAACAATCCCAGATCATTAATATTTGCCCTTAGTTTCTGAAGGAGCAGGTGCTCTGGCAGCTTCGATATGGATTTATCCTGTGCTTTAGCTAATGGATTGCTGTGCTTTATTCCAGGACATGGGAATTTTATCCTTTCATTAAAAATAGTGACTGTTCATACAACACCAGGATACGTTGGCTTAGTGATGCCTTATGTAGGGATGCAGAAAATGCTAAATAATTTAAAGAGATTCTATAAATACTTTCATATGGTGATGAAATCAGAGTATGACTAACCAGATGAGCCTTTTATTAACAAAACAAATCTCTGGTGAGCCACTGCTGTAGGATACTGCAATTGCTATGGAAAAAAACATTTCTAGCAACTGAGAACTAGCAGAAAATTACTTGGAGGGAGAGAGCCCACCTCTCCAGTGACCAGGTCTAAAGCTGGTAAACCTTCCAGGTCCCAAACAACATCTTTCTTGTGGTGGATGGAGTTTACAGCAAAAGGTATCACACTAACTTAAAAGACTTTCTTAGCATGTGTCTAGACAAATGGCTGTCTGCACTAACCTGGTTATGCACCTCTGGTATGAGCTGGCCAAATACTCCTCTGCTTGTCTGCAAGCTCAGGCTGAAGTTTCAGAAGGAATTTCTTTAAGAGGAGTCTCCAACTTGTATTTTTTTCAGACCAAAACAGCATGTTTGTGCAATGATGTTAGTCACAATGTTTTGTTCCATGGAAGATCCAGGTAATGTAGGCTGCAGTATAAAGATGAAAAATAAGGAAAACCAAGGAACGGAAGATTACATTAAAGAATTTTACAACCCTTAAAAAGCTTGCTGTTAATTTGGGTCAATGTTTGGATTGGGTCCTGTTTTTTTTCAGGTACAGTTTGCCTCATTCTCCCTTATTCCCCATCTGTTCTGTTTCTTTTGCAGTGCCAGAAGCTCCGAGAGGTTTTTAACTTGGATTATCCTCACAGCACCTTCCTGCTTAAGACTCTGACTATTGTGTCTGGCCCTGACATGGTTGACCTCACTTTCCATAATTTTGTGTCCTACAAGGAGAATGTTGGCAAGGTACTGGGTCCTGAGGGCAAGTAAACACGGGGAAACACAAAGGATTGGGGCATTAACTGGGGAGCAGGACAGGAGAGGGGGAGACAGGGAACCTGAACCTTGTCAGCTACAGGCAAGGTTATAAACAAGCAAGTTTTTGTTCCAGTAAGGTGTGATACCTCCATAGTTCTAGAAACTCTGCCCTGTATGGAGAAGGACCAGTAGGAGAAATTTGTTTACCAGTAGGAGAATGTCATTTTTGTCCTTCATGTGCTTTGTATGGAATAAACAGACCACTGAGAAGACTCAGTGGAAAAGTTTCAGCAGCTAGTATATATAGGCATTAGGAAGGTGATATAGCCAAACCCACGGTGCAGTTGTTGGGATTTGGAGCCTAGCAGTATCAGAACAGGCATTTTTATCAGGGCCTGTAGTGACAGGACAAGGGGTAATGGTTTTAAACTGAAGAACAGAAGCTTTAGAGTGGACATAAGGAAGAAATTCTTACCTGTGAGGGCAGTGAGACACTGGCCCAGAGTGTGGAACTAGATGATCTTTAAGTTCCCTTCAAACCCAAATGGATCTGTGGTTCTATGCCCTTTCCATGTTTGTTGCTGTCTACTTCTTGGTGCAGTTCCATAATGCCCAACTGTGTGTGTTTGTTCCCAGAACTGGGCTGAGGATATTATGGCCATCGTTCGGAATCCCCTCACATACAACGCTTCTCGGTACACCTTTCTAGAGAAAATGTAAGTAATTTCTGACAAACATTTTTCTCTGAAACAGTCAGGTACTGCCCTTTCTGTCTGTACTGGAAAGAAAAGGCTTCTTAGCATCCAGGTCCTTTGGCAGCCTCCGAAACAAGTCGTTTGTCAGCTCAGGAGCCCCGAGGCAAGCAGGGAGTTGGTAGTTGAGCCATCTGTTGCATGACAAATGACTGGCACAGAAGTACTTGAGCCGGTCAAACACACACATGTGGTATTAGACAAACTGAAATTCTGAGCCTCAACTGTCTCTCACCACGGTCACAGCACTCACCCCAACAAAGTGCTGCCTCTTTTGCTTTGCTCTGTAATACCGTTTGGCTGGCCACCTGAGATCACTGAGGAATACTAAATAATAGGAGATATCATTATATCTACATCTTATGTTTCAGAAGAATCCTTCTGATACCTAACCTCTTATAATTTATCTGTTTCTCCTTCCCAAGAAACAGGAACAGGTTCTGTCTGAGGTTAAGTTGATGGTCTGTAAGACCCCAATTTTGAGTTAACTGTTAGATTTTCTCAGTTGCATATTTTTTCTTTTTCCTTACTTAGTAGGTCTTCTAAGATTGTACAAGTGCATTTTCATAATCTTGATTTTTTTTTTTTTTTTTTTTTTTTTTTTTCACAGCCTGGTGAAGCTGAAGATGCAGCTTAATGCAGAGGGGAAGATTCCTGTCAGGAAGTGAGTATGGATATTTGGTTTATTGTGTGTTCAGTCAGACTAAAGGCAGAGCAGCTGATAAGAGGGTGGTTGCCCAGTGGCTTCAGTTGCCTGCTCTTTCTGTACCTGAGGTAGAGATCATTCCCTCTGGATTCAGTCTGTGAAAGGACTCCTGCTGCACCTAGGTTCCTCCAAGGAAGGGCCTGGGACATAACTTGAGTCGGGAAAGGAGACCTTTTGTGCCCTTCATCTACAGCAAGAAATTGCCTTAAACAGCTCTTTCACTTCCTGGCTGTTGCCAAGAAATGATCTACAAAAGTTCAGTAAAATTCCTATCACAGGTTGTTTTTCAAACCTGAGTTGAAAGGCAGATGAGGTGTAGGACTCATTTTACCTTTCATGGAAGGAGTTCTATATTTGGAGATCTTTTTGCTTCACTCCCCAGCTAGCCTGATGTAGGGGTCCATTGCTTTTGCTTGTCTCCTTTCTTCACGTGTGACCACTACACCCCTTCTCCACTGGTGTAGTTCCACTGCCCTCAGTCTTTACTCTGGATGTACATGAGTGGGAAACAGCCCTTGAGGGCAGGCCTCTGGGCCAGTGCTGGTGCTGATTCAGGTACAGAACAGTGGAGGTTCGCCCTTTGCTGTCCCCAGGGTTGGCCTTGCACATCAGGATAGGGCTGCCGTTAGAATAAGCCGAGGCTGCTTTGATGAAGCAAAGACCAGCCTGTTACTTCTCCCCTGCACTGCATGGCATGAATCTAGAATTGATTTTGTGCAACTTGGGGTCTTCCCTAATAAAATCACTCCATGGCTGATCCTATGGCTCCTCCATGTTGATTCAACTCATGAGTGAGAAAAGGCTGCACCACTATGTTAGATTCCCTTTTGGGTGCATAAATAATCTTTTGTTTTAAGAATAAGAACCTGTAGATAGTGCATTTGCGGGTATTTCCTGGGAAGCTTTGAACCACTCTGCTTCTAGGTTTATGCAGTATTATAGCATCACAAGAGGTAAGAGCTAATCACCTGTAATAAATGTGCTACCTACTGCGTGTTATATTGCATAATGATTCTAGATTAAGTCTATGCTGGCTAAATGGGCTTCAGGATGGTTGATCATTATTCAACAATAAAGATTTTTTTTGTTGTTTGTTTTCTAAACCACCAACCAGCAGAATTTCATTCTGTCAGAAACCAGTGTATTCATCAAAGAGCTTTTAAAAATGTATAGGTTTTTAATGAATAACTCACACTAGGGAAGAGTACTTTGAATTGATTTTTAAAATGCAAGCAAGGTAGCATTACTGCAGAGAGAGAGAAAGCAGCTTATTCTTCTGAAATAAGCTAGAAAAAATAACTGGTACAGGCTGTACCTCTCCTCAGTGCCCTGGTCAGTCTTTCTTGTGGAGCAGTAGAAGTGCTTTACTGTGTAAAGCATTAGATGATTAAATAGTTCAAATTGAGCCATATTCAGTATCTCCATTCAGATACAGATATATGTCAGGTTTTCAAAACTCTGTCTGAATTCTTCTGAAAGTTCCACTGACCATCTGCCTTTTCTTTTAGACATTTAAATCCCTTTTGAATCATAACAAAGGTGCTGCAATTTTTGCCTTGCAAAGAGCAGCTTGGGAACCAATATGCACTGAGTTTGCATAAGTCTGCTGCAGCTCCCACTGAACGCTTTTCCACCTGTCAATGCATTTGGCACTTTTTGTTCCCCTTTTTGGCTGTGACCAGCTGTGATTCCAGGAGCTTAATAGAACTGACATCTAAATTTATCCATGGAGGAGACCTCATTGCTGCTGACTGGGATGTTCTGAAAGTAGGGAGAGTTCAGTTATTGTTACTATTCCGTAGTGCAGCAAAGCGGCTGCTTTAAGCTGAAGGCTTGCCCAAGTGAATTCTGCCCTGAAGACCAGTACTAACTTTTGAAATTGGAGGTGAGCTTTGGCTTCTGCAGCATGTAGTATATCAGCTGCTTTGCCTGTGTAATGAGTTTGTTCCTTGAATTCATTGAAAGCCTTTGGTTCCAGAAAATTTGGCCATCTTTCAAAGCAGCAAATGTGCACAACGTTTGTTTGCTTTTTTTTGAATGTTGTCTTGACTACAAACTTATTCCTTGCTAATGCCAGCTACCAACTAGGATAGTGTCTTGTGGGGGGAAGTGTCCTGGGGCATTTGTGGCAGAAGGCCTGCTGCCACAGGGGAACATCTCCAATGGGGGCAGGGGAAGGACAAGGAAGAGGGATTTTGAGAGTAAGATGATGCAGTTTAGTGACAAGGTTCTTACAGGGTCTGTAGCAGAAATACAGAATTTCTGTATTAAGGCAGCAGTCAAAAAATCCACTGTAGGTTTGTAAGACTTGGTACATCAGTTACTCTCTTGGAGAAACACTGTCTGTCTTCTCTGGTTCACATCTGCAGTTGTCTTGTCAGCCTCCTTTGCTGTGCATTTTGAGTGTCTTGCACTCTGGCTGCAACCCCGCACCACCCAAACCCAGGCTTTCTGACTTCACTCCTGCTATGCTGTGGTGATTTCTTTTTTTCCATCTGGTCAGTATTTTTCAGATGTTTCCTGCAGACAGGAAGAGGGTGGAAGCAGCATTAAGCGCTTGTCATCTTCCAAAGGGCAAGGTAAGGGTTTCTCTAGCTAGCCAAAGCTCTTGCTAGTTTGAGAATAATCTTTGCCCACCCTGACTGTGATGCCCTTGGCTATGAAAAAAATCATCAGCCCAGATGTTCTTAGTTAAGAGCATCTTAGTTTTGCTGTGAAACCTTTTCCTTACCACTAGCACCCATGCCTTAACTGCAGGCCTGCTAGGATCAGTTCTTACTGTTTATATTGCAGTAACGCTTGTGACTCCCTCGCTTGCGCTCTGGGGCACGAGAAGCAGCACGTTCCCTTCTGCCTGTTTCACTGTCAGATCTTTGAAGCAAGAGATCTGGCAGTTAATCTAGGCACTTCTAACAAGCTGCAGAGTACAGTCCAGGCTTCTGACAGCTCCTACCACTGCATCAAGCTTCAGCTTTATACCATCACACAAGAGGCACCGAGGGACAGTTTAAATAACTGTCTGTTCTGGAATAGGGCATTATGGTGCTTCCCCACTCCATCCGTTCTCTCCTAAACACTTTGCCAGATGTTCTAGTCGCCTCCTTCCGTTGTCACAAGCAAGTGCTTGACTGAGTGTTAATGGAGCGATGAAGGCTGTCGTGGGTTTGTGATACTGATATGTCCTTATTACATTCTCAGAATGATGCCATCAACCCAGAGGATTTCCCTGAGACCGTGTATAAAACTTTCCTCATGAATCTGTGTCCACGGCCTGAGATTGATGAGATATTTACCTCACAGTAAGTTTCCCTCAAGCCACAGGAGAGAACTTGATCTGTTGTGGCAAAAGATAGGCAAAAAGAGGGGTGAGGAGATTTTATGCTGTGTGGTTTGTCTGGTCTCAAGCCTTAGAAGGGCAGGAACCCAGGTCACAAAACACTGCCAGGGCACTTAACACTTTCACTCACAGCCTGAATAAAAATGATGAGACCTCACTGTGCTGCAGGGACTCTTAACTGTCACCATCAGGAGGGTTGATTCCAGGCCAACACTAGATCATGCTAACGTGATACTGCTTGTGGCTAGCCCCAAACAAGGCCATATACAGCGTGAGAACCATAGATCCTCACAAGTAGCTCAGGTAGCTAAATCAGTGACATCTTAAAGGGTCTTGATTTAATAGGGCAAGCAATTCACTGTGCACTGAAATTCAAGTCCATTTAGAATTCAAGTCAGAGGCTCAAAATATGCTTTGTACTCCCTTCAGTACAACCTCTTCACAGTATTGAATGAGTGAGGAAGGAAGGCCACAGTGGGAAACATCAGTTATGGGAAGAAATGTAGACAAACCAGGAATTTTTGGGCCCAGGGACATGGACACCTATTGCTAACCTGAACAATCTCTTTTGTGAAAAGGTTTTCTGGGTAATGCACAGGCCTTACCTTTGCTCCTCTGTAATTCTCTCACCTCAGCCATTTAAAAGCAAAGCCCTACATGACCAAAGAGCACTTGGCAAAGTTTATCAACAAGAAGCAACGAGACTCTCGCCTCAATGATGTCCTTTTCCCACCAGCCAAACCTGAGCAGGTGCAGAGCCTGATAGAGAAGTATGAACCCAGTGGGATTAACATCCAGAGAGGTGAGTCTTGTTCAGCCCAAAAGTCTTGCTATAGAAGTAGTATGAAAAAAGCAGAGGATCTTGCACCTTCTGCTACCCTGACTTTCCTGGGAGAGCAATCAGCCTGATCCTCACAAGTCCCTGTGTTGCAATGCACTGGCAAGGAAATGCCAGAACCGTTTTGTTTCAGTACTATTAACAGCTTTGTTTTCCATGTAGGGCAGCTGTCTCCAGAGGGGATGGTCTGGTTTCTCTGTGGCCCTGAGAACAATGTGGTAGCATTGGACAAATTGGTGCTGTACCAGGACATGACCCAGCCGCTCTCACACTACTTCATCAATTCATCACACAACACATATTTAACAGGTATGGGCAGTTGCAGCGTCTGCCTCAGCTCCAACATGTACCTACCACTGCTGGGGGGGATGAGTGGTACTTCAGTCAGTCGGGCAGATGTCTCTGCCCTGAAGTTTGGAGGGCTCGAATGCACTGCGAGGGGATTGGCATGTAAATGCTGTAGAAGAAGAAGAAATGTCACCCCATAACAAAAAACATCTTGTCAATCTGCCACATACACCTGCCCAAGGATGGCAGAGAGCTCTGTTGCTCCAGTTTATGCAGAGACTGTCCCACATGAATAGCTAACACCGAGCCTCCCTCCTCTGCTCTCCTCCAGCTGGACAGTTTTCTGGTATCTCCTCTCCTGAAATGTATCGCCAGACGCTGCTGGCTGGCTGCCGCTGCGTGGAACTGGATTGCTGGAAGGGCCGTCCCCCGGATGAGGAGCCGATCATCACTCATGGGTTCACCATGACAACTGAGATCCTCTTCAAGGTATGGAAAGAGTTTTCTCCATACATGCTTTCCCCTGCTTGGTTTTAGACTGATCGCTGGCTGAGGGAACTGTCAAATGGATGGGCTGAGGGCAAAGATGTGTGAGAGGAAAAGATTGATGGCGAGATGACAAGTGAATGAATGTGTAGATAGAATGAAAGGCGAACAGATATGCAGTAGGTTGGAGTTTGTGTACATTTTTGGAGTGGGAGGACCAGAGGAGAGCTTGTTAGCCGGATGAAGATGACTGAATGAATGAGGGAAATGCAGCCAGTCAGGTAGAAGCTATGGGGAGGTGGTTGAGTAGATGTGCCTGCATACACAGGGCTGTGTAGCGAGATGGTTGGATGGATGGAAAGTTGCGTGAGGATGGTAGATTTATGAATAAATGCATCTCAGAGAAACAAGATGGCTTTTAGAAAACAGTTAATGTGAGTTTATCTTCTAACTGGTCTCTGCAGAGGGTTTCTGTGGCCTACAGCCTCACATGGTGGTGCTTGGGAGGAATAGGGTGCAATTACTTCCTAATTACATGAGTGTGTGGAATGTGTGCAGTGGAGCAACTGCCCTCCAGAGCGCTGGGCAGATGGCTTCCCTGAGGATGCAGCTCCTAGGCTTCAGGGCACAGTGCAAAGCCTGCCTCTGCCTTGGGAATATAGGGCATTTAACCACAGAAGTTACAAACAGCTTGCAGGTTAAAAACCAATGCATCACATTTATTTTTTCTGTGCTCCTTTACACAGCTGCTGCCAAGAGGCAGAGGCACTTTAGGTTCTTTTCAGAGCTGTTTATTAGTATTCTGTATCTTCCCCTCAGTTCCTGCACTTCTCTATTATTAAAATATTTATGTGGGGAGAAAAAAAAAACAATCCTTAAGATCAGAGGTATTGTCATATTCAGTGTCAGTAATTTCCAGAATCCTGTAGTACCACTGCTGCTTTTTGCACAGCAGCTCACTACAGATAGGAGAAATAATGACAGCTGTAGCTGCTGTAATTGCAGAGTTCTGCTAAAGCATGCGATTGTACCTTAAGGAAATTATAACCGGTTAGCGCAGCATGTGCCCCAGGTTTTAGTTTTACATAATATGTAGCTCTTTCCCTCCACACCTCTTTCCCTTTTCTACCATTGCCTGTGGCCTTTTAGTAGCTTTCTCTGTAGCTTCTCTCCTCTGCACCTGACAGGTTTCTGTGATAGAGGCTGAGCGGTCCATGGAGGAGCAGCTCTGGCAGCCTCCCTCAGTTCTGAGATCATGGCTGAACCAGGATTTTGGGGAGAGTAGGGCCCTGTAATTGCAAAGGAGCAAATGACACTTCTTTGCCATGTCAGTTAGCAGCACCAGAAAATAGTGGGAAGTTTGTGGTAGTTTAACAGGGGCTTGGGGAGAATACAATTGTTTTTTCTTACATCATTAATGCTGAGAGCGTTTCCATGGTATTTGCGTTTGAAATGTCAGCACTGCTGGTTGCTGAACATTCCAGTTTTCTCTGCTGCTACACAGAAGGATTTTATAAACAGGTGGAATAATAGAAAATTGGACAGGTTCAGAGGAAAGTATTGTGGTGGGTTGACCCTGGCTAGACACCAGATGCCCACCAAAGCCACTCTATCATTCCTTTCCTCAGCTGGAGAGGGGAGAGAATATAACAGAAGGCTCGTGGGTGGAGATAAGGACAGGGAGAGATCACTCACCAATTACCGTCATGGGCAAAACAGACTCACCTTGGAGAAAAAATAATTTAATTTATTAACAACCAAATTAGAGTAGGATAATGAGAAATAAAACCAGACCTTTAAAGCACCTTCCCCACACCCCTCCCTTCTTCCCAGGCTTAACTTTACTCTCAGTTTCTCTCCCTCCTGTGCCCTGGCAGGCAGGGGATGGGGGTTGCAGTCAGTTCATCACGCGTTGTCTCTGCCACTCCTCCTTAGGGTTAGGACTCCCCATACTCCTCCCCTGCTCCAGCTTGGGCTCCCTCCCATGGGAGACAGTCCTCCGTGAACGTCTCCCACGTGAGTCCATCACACGGGCTGCAGCTCTTCATGAACTGCTCCAGCGTGGGACACCCCTGTGCGTTTCAGTCCTCCCAGTGCTGAGCTACAACAGCGAGGCTGCCCTCAGAGCCCCAGGCTCCTCCCAGCACTGCCCCTGCTCCGCCCTGGGGTCCTCCCCGGGCTGTGGGTGGCATCTGCTCCACCGGTGACCTCCGTAGGAGCAGGGGACAGCCTGCCCACTCACCACAGGCTGCAGGGAAGGTCTCTGCTCCAGAGCCTGGAGCACCTCCTCTCCTCAGTCTTCAGTGACCTTGGTGTCTGCAGATTTGTTTCTCTCACATTCTCACGCCTCTCTGGCTGCAATTACTGTCATGCAGCAAATTTTCCCCCTTCTTAAATACTCATTAAATACAACTTTTCCCTCTTCTTAAATACATTCTTAAATACAGAGGCACTCCCACTGACGGGCTCGGCCTTGGCAAGCAGCGGATCTGTCTTGGAGCTGGCTGGCACTGGCTCTGTCGGGCACAGGGGAAGCTTCCAGCAGCTCCTCACAGCCACCCCTGTAGCCCCCCCGCTACCAAAAGCTTGCCATGCAAACCCAATACAAGTATAAATAGGATCTGAAGCAGTTTAATCTGGTGCTGCATACACCTTCCTCTAGCAATTCAGAGTGCATGTGGCAGTGGCTTGCCTCTCTGGTAAGACGCTTTCACATTCATTTATGCATACACTGAACTACATAACAAAAATAAAACCTCATATTCTTACATCTTCAACTTCATTTTTTATGCAAGTTATTGAGTTGAGCTGCATGTTATATCCTCTGAAGCTGGAAATCCAGGTGGGTATGAGAAGGTGACACTTCACCTTACTGAGAGAAGTTTAGTTACTTTAAGGAGAAGCTCCTGACACTGATCAGTTTGGAGTCCACTCAGTGGGAGGTCAGCTGCATGTCTGTTAATAATGAGCGCTGATCCTTTCTCTGACCATTGTCTCTCATTTAGGATGCCATTGAGGCCATTGCGGAAAGTGCTTTTAAGACATCTCTCTACCCTGTCATCCTGTCCTTTGAGAACCACGTGGACTCGTGAGTATCTAGTGATGGGGAGAAATTTGTTCCCTGTTGTCCGGACCAGGAAGGATACAGGCCAGGGCTGCTGGGTTTTAAGTGGGTACCTGAGCTGAAATGAAACCATGATTGAGATTTCTGAAGCAGCTGGAGGTGAGTCAGAGCTCAAAGATGAGCCATAAGCTGCAGAGTGAGAGTGGCCACAGCTGTGCAGCCTTTTAGCTCGGGATGGCAGGGCATGAACAAAGGGGAGTTGGCCTGGGAAGGGACTTCAAGATAAGCATAGCTGTTCGAGCGAAGGCAGGAGATGGTGTTCTGGGTAGAGTACATGGATCTCAAGATGGTTGTTCATGTTAAACTCTGGATTTGGGTGTTTGTTCTCCTATTCACTTCTGCTTGATCTCTTTGTTCGTTAGGCCCAAGCAGCAGGCGAAGATGGCTGAGTACTGCCGGACCATATTTGGAGATATGCTGCTGACAGAGCCACTGGACAAATACCCAGTAAGTGGAAGTTGGGGCAGGAGGCTGGCTAGTGGAGAGGGCTTTCTGAAAAGATTGGTCACTCCTGGTGCTAGGAGATACCACAACAGATACAAGGACAGTGAAAGAGAAGACGATGCCATGGACAAATAAGCCTGATTGAGCAACATGGTAAGTGGGTGGAAGACCTCTCAGTCACAGAGGTTTTCCTAAGCACTTGCCTGACTCTGCTCTTATTTAACACTCTGTGACTCGAGTGGCTTTGGAAACTGAGCTCTAGGTAGCCAAGTCGTACCAGTTGTACTAATATGAGTCGGTGTATTTTTGTACACGATACTGTTTCAAATCTGTCTGCCAGCACTTGCTTTGCAAAGAAACAGGAACAAGGTCTCAGTAGCATTTCAGGTTCTTTCTACTAATGCTTCTCAATTCTTGCTTCCAGCCTCGAAGTATTCCCTTCCAGGCATAGAAGGGCAGGTCAGTGACGTCCATAGCTTTGTGCTCTGAATAGCCGAGTAAAGCTCCCAGTGGGCTTCACCCCGGTCATCAACTTACTTGTACAAGCGTGTATTTTTGTGGACACAATGACATCTTTGGTGATTCCCATGCACATTGCTACTTCAGCTGCCTTGCAAATGGACACTGATCTATAAATAACAGGCAGTGCCTGTGTTCTGCAAAGCATGAGGCAGTTCCTTGGGATATGTAGTGGAGCGGGGAGCTGCGACACCTGGCCCAAGCATCTATTTTAAAGCACTGAGATCCAAAGATAAGCTGAAAAGATGCAGTGAGCAAGTTGCCCACTGCCCAGACCCATGTCCTTGTCAGACAATAGGGAGAAACGGGGGGGGGGGGGGGGGGTGGGGTGTGTGTGTGAGAAACAGTTCAGGGTATTAGCTAAATTATTAATAGGCCTGCTGCTATCTGTGCAGGAAGTATAGATCTAGAAGCACAGTCTGAATCACACATCCTTGTCTTAAGCCACCTACTCTGGGATCTTTTTTTCAAATCTGCTGCAGGCAGAGTGTTTAAATATGGCCCGAGTGCTGATCTAGGACTGAGGCTCTGGAATAATGAGTGAAGTAGGTGGAATGTGAAAATCAGAGGTGTGTGGATGCCTTCAGGCCATGTAGATTTTTTTTTTTTCAGCTGTGGTGCATGATAGGTTGCTGGGAACAGCATGGCATGTGCAGGCAGCAGAATATCAGAGGGCTGAGAGGTGCAAAATGCTGGTCTGAAACCAAAGGTGAAGTCTTTAGAAAAAATTTGCATAGAAATAGTGGGATATGCTGGCAGATGGAGAAATTTAAGTATACAGTGGGTGAGAGATGTGTCCAGGCACCAGTAAATGGCCTGAGGAATGATACTGGGAGGGGCAGGAGAGATGAGTGTGTAAATTCTGTCTTTGTGATGAAAATTCAGTATGAAGTTTGTCTGTTGCAGCTGAAGCCAGGAGTTCCTCTGCCAAGTCCTAAGGATCTCTTAGGGAAAATCTTGATTAAGAACAAAAAGAACCAATCTATATCTGGGAAGAGGCAGAACTCTTTGAAGAAAGGGAAGAATGTGGAACCAGAAGTCATCGAGCAGCCAACTCTTATGGATGCTGAAGATACCGGTATGTCTGAAGGGAAAATGGGACAAGTATAGCTAGATGAGCAAGTCTGGCCCACTAGACACCTTCCAAATCACCCAATACTAGCTTGAGGCAAGGCAGTACTAGTCATTAATTCAGTTATCTCAAGAAGCAGCATAAGCTTGGAAGATAAATTAAATCATCAGAATATTTTCAACCACTTCATTCCAGCCAAAAGAGACAATCAACTTATGCCCTGCCCATCAGTCAACTCTTCTGCCTACTCTGAGGTGTATGGCTGCATGAGTTGGTAATTCATTGATACACACTGGCTACTGGTTTGATGGAAGAGTGGATAGTTTTTTACTACTTGTATCTCTCCAATAACCACAAATTCATCATGGCCTTGTTCTTCACCCAGAGGTTCTTGAAGGTTTATAGAACCTTCAGCCCCACACTCCTCCCTCAATGCAATGTCTTTTCCCCGTGTGCTACTGGTATGTACTACTGATGTGGGCTGTGTGTGCTTAGTCTGGGCAGGTGATGTGGCTGAAGAGGAACCAGAGGAAGAGGATGAACATGTCGGAAACCTGGATGAAGAGGAAATTAAAAAGATGCAGTCAGATGAGGTACTGTTGCTGTTGTTTCTGTTCCTTCTGGGTTTTTTCTGGCCTCCAGTTTTCTCTGGCGCCTCACCATGCTGAAGAGAGATGAACCCTAAATGCAAAGGGAAATGAACTGTGCTATGACCAGTCGGGGGCTTTCCTTCTCCATGCAAGACAACTTTTGCAGAAGGAATGGAATAAGAGAAATGATGTTGCAAGCATAGAGAATGTTGTGGTTTGGGCCTGATCGGCAACCAACCACCGCAGCTAATCACCCTCCCTTCCCCCTCCCCACCTGGGAATGGGGGAGGGATTAGAGGGGTGAAGGGAGACTCGCAGGCTGAGATAAGAACAGTTTAATAATGGCAATAAAATGAGAACAATAAAGATGATGGGGGAAAACAAAGAGAGATATATAAACAGGCGATGTACAGCGTAATTGCTCACCACCCGCTAACCGATATCCAGCCCGTTCCCGGCTAGCAACCCCGAGATACCAAGATCCCACAATCGCAATCCCGGAAGCGAGAGAGCTCCTTCCCAACCACCCCTCCTTTATATAGTGAGCATGACGTTCCATGCTATGGAATATTTCACTGGCCAGTTAGGGTCAGGTGCTGTGGCCGTGCTCCTTCCCTGCTCCCTGTGCCCTTGCGCACGGGCAGGACATGGAGAGTTGGAGAGTCCTTGAAGTCTCGGTAGCAGCTGAAAACATCAGTGTGCTATCAGCATTCTTCCCATACCAAACCCAAAGCTAAATCCAAAACACAGCACTCATCTAGTCCTGAAAAGGAATATTAACTCTATTTCAGCCCAAACTAAGACAGAGAATATGGCAGAATAGTTGTTATTACTGACTCTGCCTTTGATATTCTGCATAACCGTGAGATAACTGCCTGCCTTCAGGGCGTTTGGAGAGGCTTACCCTTAGTCTGATAAAAATTGCTAACAAAACATGAAAAGCTGCTGTTGAAGGGGGAAGATGATCAGCATTCCCTTGAATAAAAAAATCCGTTTCCCATTTCCATCTTCCTGGTATCACTCAGAGAATAGAGAAAACAAGGTCCCTGGTTTGTCCCAGACTCTACCCTTTGAGGGGTTGAAGAGGTCCTGGGCTTCTGGCATACTGACTGATGCCTCTCCATATGCCTCGGTTTCAATTTTTGCCAAGCTGCCTGGAATCTCTGTGTCCCTGACTGCGCTGCCCATGATGTTAACTGTAGGACCAGGAGGCCAAAGAAACTGGTGTGCTGTAGTCATGGCAGCCACCAGAGCCCTTTGAGTGTGAAGCCCAGGTGTGTTTTTTTCCAACTCTAGGAAAGGTCTCATCACCTGTCTTCTCTTGGATTTTGTTTTCTGCTCAGGGCACTGCTGGTTTGGAAGTGACAGCGTACGAGGAGATGTCCAGCCTTGTTAACTATGTACAGCCTATCAAATTTGACTCCTTTGAAGTCTCTGCCCGTAAGTCCAACTTGATCCTTTCAGAATCCCAAGTATTTTCATTTGACCAGGAGAGTAGTGCTTTCAGATGCTGCTGTACTCCACCTGCCTTTGTGACTTGCTTTCACCTATTTTCTGTTGTGTTCTCTCTCTCCCACAAGTGCATGGTCACAACACTTCCCTTCTGCCCTCCTCCCTGTCGTAAGGAATTGGTGAGGAGAAGACAGGGAGATGTCTGGTACTGCTCCCAGTTATATGAGTGAGGATGAAAAGAAACAGCCTAGAGGCCAGTGACATCTCTGTGGCCTTGCTTTGCTGCTTCTGAGCCCAGCTGTTCTTAAAGTATGTGACTGGCCTTCCACTTCTGTGGTGACTGGACAGAGAAATGTCTGAAACACTGAAAATGCATGCAATTTCTTTATACACAATAGTTTCCTTTAAACAGTTCCCACATTTGGGTCTATCTTTGAGCTGGTTTGGTGAAAGAAAGAAAAGAAAAAGAAAAAAACACGGGAGTGAAGAAGGGGAAACTTGACAAAATAAAGAACTTTGTGCGAGATTTTGAATGTTTGGATTTACTTGGAACTAAAACTCCAGGCAGGAGCTCTTCTCTAAGTGTCACTGAAATCCAGGGAGAGAGGGACAAAATTATTGCCATTTAAGCTTTGTGAGCCAAACCTGTCTGTACTCCATGAAGTTCCTGTCCTGTAGCACATAGCTGCTATCTCCCTGCTAAACATAAGTCACCTTCTACAGAGTATTATTCTTCAGTCCCTTTTCAAGGGACTAGAGAAAGGTAAATTTCCTTGATAGAAAATACCTAGTAGAAAGTGAGAGCAAAGAAGCCAAGTGTTTCTTGGATCCATCAGTCCCCACACAGAGAATTGGGGGCTGGGTGTGCCTGCCTTCTAAATGCTTTCTTATCTCCTGTTTCTAGAGAAGAACCGGAGTTACGTCATCTCTTCCTTCACAGAGCTGAAGGGTTATGATCTACTAACCAAGTTCCCTGTGCAGTTCGTAGAGTATCCTTTTGGCAACCTTTGTCCACTGTAGTTAGTTGTATGGAGTGAGAGCTAATCTGAAGCTTGAGTAAGGCTGAGGCATACCCAACTGGCTTCTGGTTTCAGGACCTGGTGAACTCTTCATCGGAGATATAAAGTGTGCAGGTGGGACATGAGATCTTCCCGGGTGGCTTTGGGGCTGTTCAGAGGTTCTTGAAAGGATACATCCTGCTTGAGTGAACGCCAAGGCTGCCAGGTGCTTGTCCTTAAGTGGAAGGGGTTTAGGAAAGGAGCCTGTTGCTGCCAGGGCCTCTCTTACTCTGGAAGGCTCTAAGCATTTGGTAGCAGAGCTTAAACAATTGTCATAATCTGCATATGCGAGCTAGCCCCAGGGTACATAAGGAGTGTTTCAGACTTGTTTCCAATAGAGCAACTGTAGATATAACAAGCGGCAGATGAGCCGGATTTACCCCAAAGGCACCCGGATGGACTCCTCTAATTACATGCCCCAGATGTTCTGGAATGTCGGCTGTCAGATGGTGGCACTCAACTTCCAGACCATGGGTGAGTGTCCCACTGTCCTCCAGCCCCTGAAGTGGCTGCGGTTGTGTGCTCGTGTTCACAGTTTCTTCCTTCGGTGCCATTTCCCTCCGCTGCTGTTTCCCTGAATGCGTTTATTCCATGTGCCTTCCCCCCAGAGTGGTGGTGTTCTTTGACTCTGTCTCACACAGACCAAAAGCATGTTTCCAGGCCCAGCACAAACCTGGCATACAGTTTAGGGTGCTGGTCCTGCACACTCATGCATACACACATACACAGACTTGCTGTCGTCCAGTGTCTGGGTACTGTCCCTGGCTGTCCTGTAACGTGATGTCACACTAAATAATGTGCACAAATGCACCAGAAGCTCCTTCTTCCCCTGAGTTGCTGCTTTTTCAAGGCAGCAGGCAGAGCTCCATCTGGCTACAGGACTGGTCTGCCTGTGCTATTATTTCCAGTACATTGACCTGACCAGGGAAGAAGGGCCTTTCCTTGATGCACAGCCAGCATGAGAAGGAAAGAAAAGCCTCCAGAGAAAGCTATTCTGTACTGCTCTTCTTTCCTCAGAGGAGTGTCTTACATATAGAGAGTGTAGGAGACTAGCTGTAGGATCAGTAGGAGAAAAGAAGCAGCAACTTCTAAAGGGAGAGAGTGAGAGATTGGTTATGGAGAGGACATCATATTGAAGATGGGTGCAGGAACCACAAGACAGTGTTCTCAAGAGAAGTGGCAGAGGAGAAGATGGACTGAGAGGAGGCCTAAAATGAAAGGGGGAAGGAGTAGAGGGGTTCAGACAACTATTTGCTTCACACCCTAAAATAGCAGGTGGTACTTAAAGTAGGTTTTAATTTAGTTCTACCCATGACTTATGGTGCAATCATAAGCAAACCACTTACCTTCCTTACAACAGCTGCTGTAATATTTTTCCCTGTAGGGTGCTGAGAGGCTTAATTAGTTTTTGAAACAGCTTTGTGAACCTTTGGCTAGCAGGGGCTGTAAAAGCACAGCATCTTTCAGCTCACTCATAGCACGCAAGCCACCTGATGAGGTCCCACAGAAATTTTTCTCATTGTGTTCCTCTATCTCAGATGTCCCCATGCAGCAGAACATGGCTCTGTTTGAATTCAATGGCCAGTGTGGCTATCTGCTCAAGCATGAATTCATGCGGCGTCCAGACAAGCAGTTTGACCCCTTCTCTGTGGACCGCATTGATGTGGTGGTGGCAAGTACCCTGTCTGTCACGGCAAGTACAAACCGAGGTGCTGTTCCTCCCCTGACAGCCAGTTCCTGGCACCATGGATATAACTGGCATCTATGTCCCAGCTATTTATTACCCAGTAGAGTTCTTAGTGGCAAATGAACCCGGAGAGTCCTGTGGGAGAGTGTTACCATGGCAACTCCCAGTCTTTTCACTATTTTAAATTTATCATAATCGCATGAAAATGGAAAATTAGCATCTGCCACAGAGAAGAAGCCAAAGCTGTGATCATGGGGAGGGAGGAGGTTGGAGGAAGTGATGAAGCAAGAAACATGGGTGGAGGTAAAAGAAAAGCCTGTTGTGGATTGGAAGCTGCAGCAGAAAAGACATTTTGGGCTTGGTGGGTGACTTTGGGGCAAAGATACAGGCAAGTTCTTCTGGTTTATTCTTCTCAGCAGTTGCTAATTGTTTCTGCTTGTTTGTAGATACTCTCCGGTCAGTTCCTCTCAGACCGCAGTGTGAAGACATATGTGGAAGTAGAGCTGTTTGGGTTGCCAAGGGACACAAAACGCAAATACAGAACAAAAGTGACCTCCACTGCCAATTCCATTAACCCTGTATGGAAAGAGGAGGCATTTGTTTTTGAAAAGGTAAAAACAGTTGATAGTAATTTAGACAGAGAATCCTTAAAGTTCCTGTTGGCCACAAGCACTGCCTCTTGAGATGTCAGTGACAACAGGAGGAACTCCTTTATGGAGGTCTTGGTCATGGCTTTAGACACACAAGGCGTTACGTGTTGCGCTCTCAGATAATATCCAGACAATGATATCCAAAACAACTCTCCATCATTATTTCCCTGAACAGACAAGGGGTAGCTGGGAACATTTCTGGAAATAACAGGCATCAAAAGTCTCCCATTTGTGATGTACTTCAGACTGAATTGACTAATCAGCTTTGAAAACTTCAGGCACTAGGAAGCAGAAAGGAACTGAATGTCTGTGGTGAAAATGTAAATGAGAAACAGATAAACTGGAAAGTAGTGGGACTAGTGGGAGGTTTTCAGTCATGCCAGAGTACAGAAAGCTGCCCTGCTTCTCTACAGGAATTCAGTGCTCACTAATCCAGCTACAGGGTACAGGGAAGTTAAGTTAAAGGTGTTAGTAGTGTTTGGCCTTTCTCCAGGAAGCTGCAAAGGCAAAATACACAATTCATCTGTCAAGCACACTGTGAAATGGCAGATATTTTCAGCCTACTTGGGATGTGGTAGATAAATATTGTCCTCATTTCAGAAAACACTTTTCAGGCATCAGTTCTGGCAGAATAATTTTTAGCTCATTTTATGGTAGAAGAAAATGGGGGAGGAGGGAGGCAAGAGCCCTTACAGCAAAGTTACCATGCTTGCCAAATTATCCTTCCAAGTTCATTCCCTCTCTGGTGAATTGCTTCATGAAATTTGTGGTTTGGAGGGTTTGTTTCCCTATTTTTTTCTTTAGGTAAACTGCCCTCCTGTGACCCTGTGCTGTCTCTCCTCCGAGAAGCCTGTGTTCTGTGGAGTTTCTGTGAATTCAGTTACGTCTGTGATAAACTGTAGTCTTAAATTACAGGATGCAGAAATAGGCAGTGACTTCCTTGGAGAGATGGCATTGTTTTTTTGGGAAGGAGAAAGTAAAGTCCTACTTAGTGAAGCTAGTATGCTGTTAGGAGTTAGAGGTGAGGACATTGGTGCCTTACTCTGTTTTTTCCTTAGATCATGATGCCTGAGTTGGCGTCTCTCAAAATTGTGGCTTGGGAGGAAGGAGGGAAGTTCATTGGTCATCGTGTCATTCCCGTTATTGCAGTGCACCCAGGTAAACTTTGTAGAAATCCCTTCAGCTTTGCACCCTTGGGACTTACCCATTGGAAGCTGTAAAGAAGATATGAACATCTGTGTATTTTGCTACTTGGTCTCTGCTCCTGTAGGCAGTGGAGCATTCACATTCGTCCTACTATAGCTTTGGCTTAATTCCATAATATATTCACCATGCCCTCCTGTAGAGACTCTGTTTTACTGTTGGAGCACCCAGACAAGAAGGGACAGAGTCTGTCAGCTTACCTCTTCTGCTTTCAGGTTATCACCACGTTTGTCTCCGCAGCGAGAGCAACATGCCGCTCACCATGCCTTCTCTATTTGTGTACCTGGAAATAAAGGACTACGTTCCTGATGCTTGGGCAGGTAGTACACGTTCGAATGTGCATGAGGGGTCCTCTGCCTTTGTCTAAACTGTGATCCAGAAGCATTATTCCAGCCCAAAGGGTGCCTTCCTGCTGCACCCTTAGTTCCTTGTCAGGGTGGGACTTGAGCGCATGCCAGCATCCTGTCCACGCCCTTGCTTTCACCAGAAGAGAGTGGATGCTTGCACTGTAGTGGTGACTGGTTCCCAGTACAGGCCAAGGCACACACACCTGACGTGCAGCGCAGATGTGACTGTCTCTCTGGTTTGGAATGGCTCAGTCTTTACTACGTTTATTCAGAGGTAGGGAGAGGTTTCCTTGAGTGGAGAGGTGATAACTCTCAGGGAGTGATGAAAATTAGGGTTTGAGGGAGCACAGGAGTATTGTTCTTCTCTGAAGAGAGGGAGGTTCTTGCTAGCACTGAGATAGTCATCTTCCCTTTAAAAAGGGGATGGTCAAACAGTGAGAGATGAATCAGAAAAGAAGCGCTACTTGAGGTATTAACAGCAAAACTTTTTAACAATCGTGACCGAAGCCATGTAGCATGTAGCAGCATCAGCCACAGAAGTTCTTGTGAATACTTCATGTTTACTCTCTCTTCTCTTGTGTTCCTACAAACAAACATTATTCATGGGGGAAGTCCTGTGAAATTGATGGTTTTAACACGTATTCATAAAAAAAGACCAGGTTTATACAGCATTGGACTGGAACTGGAGCAGGGAGCTGGGCAGGTTAGGAAAGTCTTAACCTGGCTTTGGATTTTGGGAGCCATATGCTCTTTTCAGCTTTATAGAGCTGCCTGAAACATTTGTGAGCCATCGCCTCTGATGGGACTGAGCCCTCCCTTTGTGCTTTCAGGGAGAAGCTTGTTAAAAGTAGAGAGTACAAAACATCCCTTCTCCATAATTTCCTGACCTAGGCCAGGAAGGAAATCAGAAATCAAGGAAAATTAGAGTACAATGAGTTATTTGATAATCTGAGCAAAGACCTCCTCTTTGTTTCTAGATCTGACTATTGCTCTCTCCAACCCCATTAAGTTCTTCAGTCTGCAAGACAAGAAATCAGTTAAGCTAAAAGATGGCTCGGTGGAGGTAAGTTTTTCCAGGTTCTGTCATTGTCTCTGAAGCACGTTGCATGGAGTCAGCCTAAAATAATAGAGCTTTGATTTACTTCTGATCTTTGTTTTAGAGGCTTGGCACACAGAGGAACTTCCCATCTGCTGAAACTAATGGGACACCAGACTCCACTGGGAAATTCAGCATTCCTTTTTCAAATGGGCCTGCAGGTAAAGCTGTGGATGTGGGGTGAGCTACAAGTAGAAGGGGGAATCCTGTACACTCACAAGGCAGGAAAGAGACAGTGGTGGAGGGTGAAGATTCTTGGTAATGGGGTCAGAACCTCTCAGGCCAAGTCACCAACTTAAATTCCAGTGCTTGTCATTAATGGCAAAAGTTGTAGGTATCCCCTGACTCTTGGGCTGGAGTGAGTGTGACGTGCATGCTGCTTTTACTCCACAACAGAAAAGTAACCTCAGGTAGCTACTGGGAATACCAGGAAACAAGTTCCCAAGCACTTAAGCATCTCAGCAGCTTAATTAATTCCTTGGTATTCACAACAACATCATTCGTGTGGCCCGCGTTCTTGATGAGCTCTCCACTGTCCACTTTCAACACGAAGATCCAAGATGGAACATAAAACAGGAACCTCTTCTGTGATTTCAGGAGCAGGAGCGTTTGCCAAGGACGAAAATGTGACAGAAGTGACACAGATTGCAGGTAAGTCCTCTTGTGTTGTTTGCTCGGCTGAGGCCCTGTCAGTCATCTTACATTCCCTCTCTGCCTGACTTCTGACTGGGATAGAGATGAAGCCTGTTTTGCAAATTAAAAAGACCTGACCCAACCCTGCCTGTTGTAGCCAGTACTGAAGACAAAACACATGAGTCTTCGGGCTCGGGGACCTGGTCCCTCTGCCTGTGGCATCATTTGTCCATTTTGTCATGGTGTGTGATGAGCTCGCAGGCTGGGACTGAGCTCACAGCAAGTCTCAAGGAGAAAAGAGGCTTGGAGTTGCCACAGACCGTAGCTTATGTAAGCTGGGCCACTGTCACCTGCACAGGCAGGTTTGAAGAGCTTTGGACTGCTCCAGCTTTGGCCCTCGGGCCACTGGCTGCAGCAAGTCAGCTTTTACAGTTTTTAAAAGTTATTCCTAAAGAAAAATGTTCCCCAGGACAGAGCTATGATTACTACAATTACGTGCTCTGGTAAAAGGCGTTACATAGTGTGGAAGCACAGTGGGGTCTGATTTGAGAGTCTGGACTTCTTGACAGAGACACTTCCACTTAGACTGTACGCTTCAGTTTCCTCAATACCAGCCTTTTAGGAGTTCACCCAGCACAGCACTGCATAGCAGACACACCCTCAAGTTCTGTTAATTTTCACACATTCCAAACTAAAAAAAAAAAAAAAAGTTACTTCCCCTGAGAAGATAACTCCCTGTGGCCTTTCTGCCACAGATAACCACATCTGACTGACTTGCTACTGCCAGATAACAAGTTCTCCAACAGATCACAGGCATCCTTTCCCTCTCATTTTCATTTACCTCAAAAGCCCTTTCATTTCTTTCTCACAATTGAAGAAATGCCAGGCATTAAACCTGGAAGGGATGGAAGCACCTGTCATTGTAACTCAGTTTTGCAAAAAAATCAGTAACAAAACAGCTTTGCCCTTGTAATTAGAGCTGCCAAGTAGCTGAACAGTTGTGCTGTCTTTGGGATACTTAGAATTGTGGAAAAGGGTGCAAGGCACAAGACAGACAGACTGGCACGTCACCACCAGTGTGTTCCTCTGGCCAAAATACCAAAAGGCAGCAGTTTTCCTGGCCACCCTCATGCCACGCATCTACCAGATGATGAGCTGAGCTGCATGGAACGCTGACAAGAGGGAGGAAAAGCTGAATGAAGGCAGTGCTGAAAAAGCTTTGTGACCCCAAAAAGTATCAGGTAGGTTGAGAAATGCTAGTTGAAAGAGAACAGCCTCTCTTTATTTTGTGTTTTAGAGCCTCAGACAGCCAGCCTCGCAGAACTGCAGCAGATGAAACTCTTTCTGAAGCTGCTGAAGAAGCAGGAGAAGGAACTGAGGGAGCTGGAGCGGAAAGGAAGTAAACGGAGGGAGGAACTGCTGCAGAAATATTCTGTACTCTTTTCGGAACCTGTCTGCTATGGAGGCAGGAAAAGGGTGATGCACTGTAGGAAAACCCAGAAGAAGAGGTAAATACAGCACAGGGTCTCCAGCAGGGCCTGGCCTGGGGATCACCTCCCCAAACCAAAGCAGAGGGATTCCCTGAGAGAACCATGGGCTGCTGCTCCCAGAAGGAAGCATGGAGCAGTGCGGGCAGCCACATCTCCCTGTGTTTATAGTGTCAGACATTTCCACTGAGGGGTGGGTTGGAAGGTTGGGATTGTATCAGCATCTCCAGAAGCAGCACAGCTGCTATATCTGTTCTGCAGGAGTTTGACAACAGGTGACGTTGGTACATACACAGATCCTGTAGAAATGGTGGAAGGAATTGATAGCCGAGTTTTGGAACTGAGAGAGAGGCTGGAGATGGACCTCATCCAGCTGGGGGAGGAACACCATGATGGGATTCGAAGAAAGAAAGAGCAGCATGCCACAGAGGTAAGGACTGCAAGTGTCAACAGAAAATGTAGCCTAGGACAGACCCTGCAAGGACAGCCTGAAAACCCCAAGTTCTTCACTAAACTGTGAGCTTGGAAACATGGCCACAGGGCAAAAAACACTGCTCAGAGCAACTGTCAGGTCCATGCAAGATAATTGAGAATGTAGACAGTGATGCTTATTTGTTAGAAGCTATAAAAATCCAGCAGAAACATTTTTATGGGTCTGCAATTTGAAAAAATTGAGCAGCGCTGCCCTGGAGCACATCAGGCTCCATCTGCTTAAACTCTTCTGATAGCTTAGCTTGGAGTTAACGTGGCATTTTCTGGCTTCATACACGGCCAGGTGCCAGCTCTCTAGGAGCATGGATGCATGAGGCTGTACCACACTTCTCACAGCTCCCTGCTTGATGCTGTACTGTCAGAGCTAGCGTGACACACAGGTATGTTGCAGGTGGAACCATCACAGCTTTACAGACACACCGTAGGGGCAACCATGCTCACCGCTGTCTTTCAGCCAGAGAGTGTGCAGCCCCACCCGGTGCATTCGATGCTTGCCATTGCCACATCTGTGCTGGTAACATGAAAGCCTTGCGGGGGACAGCACTCCCGGGCCCACCCCTTAGTACTGACAGCAGGGCTGGATCTCATTCCTCCTGAAACCTGGAAAGTGTTTTGCTGTTTCAGTTAGTAGAAGTCAGATTAAGTGTCCAAGTAGGGTGTTGCCAGCAAGTCCTGCAAGTGCATCAGTGTTTCCCACACCTTCAGATGCTCCACATTAGGCAAACCCCAACAAGAGACACAGTGCCTGGAGACAAAGTGCACAAGATGGTGGTGATGAATATGGGGTATGCGAGCTGTTCCAGTGAAAGGGGGATGATTCCAGGATTTGGAGGCTTTTTCCTATCACTATTTACCAAAGGGGTTTGCATCATATGTCTTAAATCTTGGGTTCCCTGGTGCAGTTTGGCTTGACAAGCACCTTGCAGGCTATCTACAAGACTGGCTGGTCTAGCCCATACCAACCCTGAGGGAAAAAACCCTGCCTCTTGAGAATTAGCTTACCTGGGAATCATGCTTATCACCAGAGAGAGAAGCCAAAGGAATAAAACATCCTTGTCTCACAACTCCGTCAAAGATCAAGAGACTTAATGGCCAAGGCTACAAAAAGGGAAATAAACTCCTTGAATTCCCACTGCACAGCACACAGCCCAGCAGCCAGGGTTTTCCCTTCCAGGCTGTGTCTCGGCAGGCAGGTCTCACTGCACTGCCACTTCCTCTGCCAGGAATTGCCACAGAATTTTGTTTCCCCAAGACAGAAGGCCCATCCTCTCGCTGCTAGCCCCAGTTGTTTAGAAGGTAGGCTCTACTGCCATCTCCCAGCAGTACGGTGAATCTGGTGCTGCCTCCTGCACAGACAGGAAGTTGAGCATAAAGACAACCCAGAGGTGTGTGACAGCTCGTGGAGTAGCCTTTGGAGCCTTGGAGCTAGTCAGTCCACTAGCACGGTGCATCAGTGTGCACATCAACTTGCTGCTGTGGTGCATGGGTTTGCACAAAGCCTCGTGGATTAGCTGGGCCCTGGAATTCAGTGGAGGGAGGGCTAAAGCTGAATCTGGTGGTAATTAGATACAGATGATGTGCTGTGTCTCATCTTGGTTTGTTTGGTTTTGATCTTGTTTTCATCCCTTGAACAGCAAGTTACCAAGATAATAGAGCTAGCCAGAGAGAAGCAGACAGCTGAGCTGAAGGCACTGAAGGAGTCATCAGAAAGGTAAACTTAATATTTAGATAACAGAGTAATAATGCTATAGTTCTTATCTGGGGTAGCACTTTCCGCTAGATCTCAAAGCGCTCACTACAAGCAGTGAGTGAATACAAGGGAAGAGAAGCATTTCTTTTATTCTGAGAAACTGAGGCACAGCGATGTGACCCAGGGTCTCACACAGTTACACAGGGGCAGTGGTGGGAAGACAGCTCTTGTCCTGTCATCTCCAGAACAGTGTTCCTGTCACGGGGCACCAAGCAGGGTCCTAGTGTGCAAGCTGCAGTAAGTAGCCTTGACTGACTAATTCAGAAAGATAGGAAATAAGACTGCTGGTCACAGGATGTCACCTCTATCTGCTGTAGTCAGTACATCTCTCACAATCCCTTCCAGAGACTGATCAGCTCAGTCTGAAGTGTATTGAGCATCTTGGCTCCAGTACTTAACTGGCAGAATCAACTCAATTTCTAGCCAGGCATTTATCCGTTTGTTCTTGCAATAATATTGTCCTGAAGCTAAAATCCTCACTCATTCCTCCTCCCCATTAAATCCTCTCTCAGCTTTTAGTTGCTAACTCAGGCAAAACTTCTTTTTGTGTCATCTATCAAGACAGAGTCTCCATTTCTCTCAGCTATTCGACATATTCAGGCAAGACTAAGAAAAACAGGTGGAGTAGCTAAGTAATGGTTTGCTAACAGTACAATGTCATTTGGTACAATCCCATCTATAGCTGGCTGTGAGGAGCTCCACAAAGATTTAAAGATCATCATAGAATGAGCATAGAATCATAGACGGGTTTGGGGTGGAAGGGACCTTAAAGATCATCTAATCCCAGTACAGTTCAGTATGAATAAATACAAAATAATGTGAATGGAAAAAAAACATAGCTCAGCTGTACACAGGGGTGAGCTATTGTCACTCAGGAGAGATCTTCAGCTGCTGTGGATACTTCTCTCCAACAGCTCTGCAGTAGCCAAAGCAGTAAATAGAATTTTTGGAATTGTATTAAAAAAAAAAAAAGGAAGATTTGAAGTCAGCATTATGCCACTAGATCTACCTCCATAGTGCAGTCACCTTTTCCATACCCATCTTGAACAAAAAGCTTTGAAAGAGCGAGAGGGGGTTGGCAAGGATAGTCAGCAGGGAGGAGTAATTTCTGCAGAAAGAGAAATAAAATAGGACTCAGCTTGGAGAACAGATGATTGAGGGGGATGTGACAGAAGTGTGTAAAATCATGAATGGTATGGAGAAGAAGAATAGGGAAGTGATTACTCACTGTTTCTCATAAGAGAAGAAATGTGGGGCACCCAGTGAAGTTCTCAGGGAGTGCTTCTGTCACAGCATGTGAATTAAGTTCTTTTCCTCCCAAGGCAAGGAGCTATGAAGTCCAAAGGTAGAGCTAAACTCCCAAGGTATGAGCAATGTTCATGGGAGATGAACACCTGGGAGCTGGAGGATAGCCTGGGAGCTGGGGAGGTGGAGGAGGGAAAAATCCCCCTACACTTGCTCGCTCTTATGCTTCTCTCCAGAGTTCGTGCCTTCCACTGTGGGGGTCAGAGCCCAGCCCTGGGCCCCACCTGGTGCCTGTTCCTGGGGAATCGCTTTGCGTGGGGGGGGCGGCCCAGGGCCTCCCACCCCCCAAAACAGACACCTTCCTCCATCCGCCTCGTCACGGGCTCGGGCCTGCCGTTAGCGTGTTCGATGGCCACATACGCCTCAGGCAGGGGTACAGATCTTGGGTGTTCTGGGGTTTGTTCTTTTCATATTTCTTACTGGTTGATCAAGTGCCTTTTAAGTGTTTATGGTTTCTGCTTTGAAAGTCACATCCCATAGTTTATGTGCCTTTCTGCTTGCTTCAGGTCTTCTTTTTAGGTCTGCTATACAGACATTAGTTCCTTTTTTCTTTTTTTTTTTTAATTTAGCAGTGTAAGTACTTTCAGCAAGTGTCCTGCTGCTCAAGAGGAACCCAGTGTATGTATACAATACAACCTAGTTATGTAATGTAACACAAATTAACTATATAACGTGTTTTCTCCTGTCCCTTTGTTATGACTCCCTTTAAAAAAAAAATGGGAAAAAGTTAGGAGACTTAAAATATTCTTAAGAATTAGGGCTTTCTGCTGTACAATCACTTAAACTTTGCTTTTCTGGACAGTAGAGCGCTCCAGAGAGCAAATGCAGAGGGCTGCTTCAGTCTCTGGGCTTTGTAATCAGTCCTGTCTCTCACAGCACCCTTTTCTCTCCACAGCAATATTAAAGACATTAAGAAGAAGCTGGAGGCAAGGAGAGTGGACCGAATCCAAGCCATGATGAGGAATACCAGTGACAAGGCTGCTCAGGAGAGGTACTGGGGTAGATGTTAGTGGGGATTTTTGCAGACCACCAGCTGCCCTGCTCCGGGCAGGGCCCAGCGCCGTGCCCCTCTCCGACAGGGAATCCTCATCCGAGCAGGAGCTGCTGGCTCGGGGAAGGTGCCAGCCTGCCCTTGCTCCTGGCACAGCGCTTTCTCCATCGCACTCCAGTGCGCAGGCAAGGGCGCAGTGAAGCCAAACATCTGCTCCCTCGCTGTAGAGAGAACGTTCCCGCAGTCACTGCCCACAGCAGCTTCTGGAGCTTTCTCTCTAGGCTTAATTTTTTTGTGTAAGGCTGTCAGCAAAAATGGCTTCAGTGACTGGACTCTGCCTAGCCCCAGAGGAGCAGTGCCTTAGCAATGCCCCCCACCCTGGCGCGGGCAGCAGGAGCTCAGAGGGAAATGCAGGGGAAGGACATTACAGGTGGAGAAGTTGTACCTTACAGACCAGCCTGCCATGCACCCACTGCTGTGGCTCTTAGGTGACATGCAAGCTGCTTGCTAACATACCTTCCAGTCACTTCAGCTGAAGCCTAAGAGCACTTCCAAACACCTCCTGCCCCTCCTCCTGCCTTGGTGGGTATTTATCTCCCCCTTGAATCAAAGGCAGGTCTTCCCCAGCCTCTCTGGAATCTGTCTGTAATCAGTTCCAGCAACCCTCCCAGTTAAGAGGTTGGGTTTAGCCATGTAATGGCTGCAGCCTTCCTTCCCCTTTGTTGTTATAAAAATAATACTCTGCTACTGAGCCTGTGTGTTCAAGTACCACATGATATGAATCAGTTGTAACAGCTTCACGTGTTCAAGGGTACGCTACCTTCTTGCTTCCAGCTCATAGCAAGGTCCTCTTGCTGTCTGTTAAGCTGAAAAAAATAGAATTTTGCATCCAGTTATTTGGCTTATGCCTCAGTGAAATTTGAATGATGTTTTATTTGCCTTTCCTAAAATTACAGCAACCTCTCAGTGTGGGAGGACACTGTGAGAATGTAATACACCTGTCTGTGTCAGTACCAGCAGTCCTGTCTTAAAGCACCATACAGTATCAGTATTGATAAACAGATTTTATATAAAGAGAACAGATGAATTATAGGTTTTTATACACTTGCTTTCTTTAAAGGTTGAAGAAAGAAATTAATAACTCTCACATTCAGGAAGTGGTGCAAACAATCAAACTGGTAAGTTGTCCTGTGACAGTCTGACACAGCATCTCTGTTTTCTGCAGAGTGGGGGTGTCTTGTACATTATCACCATGTCTCACAGAACGTGAGCTCCCTGAGGTATTTAGATCCCATTAAACTGCAACTGCATTGAGGACTCTGAGGGTGTAGTTCAGACAGCCAAAGTGCAGCTGAAGACAGCTCCTACCCCTACTAAAATACCACTGGTCCATAAGGGTCTAGTGAGTCCTCACACATGGTCAGAGATGCAGGGCAAACAGCTGTCCGGGATATTTTGCATTTCTAATTCAGGGATTTTTTTTTTTTTTTTTTGAAGCACAACTAATTATCAGTGTAACTCCATGTCTATTTAATAATGTGCAAAGTTTTGCAGGAGGGGAGGAGACCCTAAAGATCTCATCTTTGCCCTTCAGAGCCCCATCCCCTTGCAGAGCGTTTGTGTGTGTGTCCACACTCACCCAAGTGCATGCTCTTGCAATGCTTCCCCAGTGCTGGAGCTTGGGGCAGCAGAAACTGCTCAGAATTGGGAACGGGGGGGATACGGAGGCATATGCTCTATAACCTTAGGCCTTGTTGTTAAAGCTTGGGGTGGCTAATGCATTTTTTTTTATAAAAACTTGAAGTGTTTTTTTTTTAATGTGTTCTTTTTAAAGGTGACAGAAAAGACAGCCAGGTATCAGCAGAAACTGGAAGAGAAGCAGGCAGATAATCTGAGAACAATCAAGGAGAAAGAAAGCCAGGTAAAGGCAAAGATGGAGCTCGGGGTCAATGCTGTTAGTCAGTGCAGTAAATCCAGATCACCCCAGGGGATCGGTCTGCCTGTGCATTCTTTAATTGATGCTCCACTCATCCCACACACACATACTTTAGCCACCCACTCCTCAGTACACTGAGAAAATGAATGACTTAGATCTGTGGGGGCTCCTGTAGAACCACCTTCTAAGTCAGGGGTGCTGCACTCCTCCCTGCCCTGTGCCAGCACTGACATCCATCTGATCATCCAAAAACCTCCTCAAGTGGAAGTGGGATAGAAATGCAGCTTTAGAGGAGATGAGTCTCATCCCTGAGCTCCTCAAACTCTCAAAACACACAAAATGCGTTTGTGTCCTTTCAGGGTTGATGTGCAGTGAACATGCAGTCTCAATTCTTCAAACTCTGGTGCAAATCAGAGTAATGTAAACCAGCAATCCTCCCTACTTTCATCTTCAGGGAAGCCAAAGGTTGCCAGGGGGGTGAAGAGAAATCATTCAATATAGAAACCAAAATCACACAGTGCTAACGTCTCATGGTATTGGTGTCTCAGAGAAGGTTTTATGCCATTCTCAGCCTGATGTCTGCTTAGCATCAGTATTTGGAGAATGATTCGATGTCTCTGTTTGCAGCTCCAGCAGGAAGCACTGGCAGAGTATGAAGAGAAACTGAAAACTCTGAATATGGAGGTGCAGGAGGTGGTGAAGAACTATGCAAAAGCAGGCTTTCCTGGAGAGCCAGAGACTCAGAAGGAAGCAGCTCAGAGCGTTCCTGAGGGAGAACAAGGCTTGGCAGAACAACTGGAAGAAAAGATCCCAGTGGCAGAGGTGTCAAGGCTTACAGTAGCCATGCCTGCACACCCAGGAGCTGAAACGGATGTCGAGATTGAAGCAAGCATATTCTAAGAGACACTTCCCTTACTGCTCCACTTCAAAAAGGTTTCTGGAGGTATACAGTGAAGTTAAAGACCAGCTTGAAAAACTACTACTGTCCCTTTCCACTCTGGGGAACTCCTGAAATCCTTCAGGAATTTACTACTTTATTATCCTAGGTATTGGAAGTAGTCTGAAGAGATCACCCTTCAGAGTGCTTCACTCTTCCACACCTTAGCACTAAGGTATTTAAGCAGCATGAAAGGGCCTGTAGCTGAGCATGAGCTAGTTGTTGGCATTCACAGTAGCATCTACATTAATATTTTAGCCTGGATTCAGACTTCCATTTTTACAGTAAGTTCCCTCATCATTCATCACATGCATCTCCACATCAGAGTAGTCTCAGAGCTAAATCCCTCTGAAGGAAATTTAACAGAGACACTCTCCAGTAGCCCACCTGCTATGCTCCCACCAGCTGAGAGCTAGCCCGGAATAAAGTCACCCGAAATACATGTAAGTGGGGGTGGCAGGGGCTCAGCAAAAGCTGTTTCCCTCTAAAGCACTGTTCCTTCTGGCAACAGCACCTGCTAATGCAGACACAGCCTCTGGTGAGAGGAGGGAAGGTCAGTTTGGTAGAACCTCCACCCATTTCTGTCAGCACACCACTTCCCTGTACCACCAGTGCTGGCTTTTTAATTGCCCACCCCCCCCCCCCCCAGTCAGCTGAGGACACTTTTCAGTACTCTGGTATCCACACAACATAAACCAGCATTTCCTCTGTGGAAATGTACATTACCACAGTGTAGCTTTTCTTCTTTTTTTTTCTAACATCTCCTTATTCCCAGGGGCTGGTTCTCACTCCCAAGTCTAACTTTGAGTCTCCCAGGCCTTCAGGCAAGTTCTCAGATCTGGATCTGTATCTCCTAAAGACCCTGCCAATTACAAGGCATATTATGAGGAGTTCCAGCTACCACACACACACTTGCAGAGTTCTCATCTACACCGATTCGACATTTCTAGAGCTTTACTGAAACTTCTTTTCATGAGGCTAAATTAGTTCTATGTTATGGGCTTAGGATAACAACTGTTAACAATTTCTAAACTGTGTGAAAAGTAATGTTGTTGCTCAGATAACAAGCTAGCCAGCTCTATTGCCCAGACAATTCCCCTACACAGAAAGCTGAGTATGGCTCCTCAGAAAACACATTGAATTATCCATTCAAGTAGCAGAAAGCAGTTCTCCAGTGCTGCTTCTACATGATGCCATCCCAGTTAATGACAACAGAGGGCTCAGCACTGAGCTGTAGAATCTGTTCCTTGCTGCTGGGAAAACCGAACTCCTCAAAGATCCATGTTCATTAGGACCTTGGGGGGAGGCCTACACACTACTGGTGTTCACTCTCCCTTTGCAGGAGTACTGCACACATCTTCCCTCAGAGCTTTACTCACTTCCCATTTCTTCATGAAGCACGTGCACCTGTAACAGCACTTCCCCCCTCGGTGACAGAACAGGTGAGTTCTATGCCCAGCCATAGGACTTTGAAGGGCAAATGGTCCTCAGCCTCCGTTAGCCCTAGCACATACTTTGTGCTGTCTGTCTGCACTAACACCAAACCTTCCAGCAGACACACCTGGAGGTCTGTGTTCCCAATATCTTGTTCTTGTCTTGCAACAGAAGGGGAGGTTCCTCTTTACCATCTTTAAGCTTCTACTTTCTAGGACAGCAAAGCCTCATTCTGTGAATGCAGAACTTGCATCAGTGTCCACTTGCCACACACAATCTCACCTGTGTTACAACCTTGTGCACTGAACAGCTTTGACACAGTGAGTTCTTACTCATCCAACAGGAAGGAACTGGAAACATATGGCCCAGCTCTTTTCCTAGCACCAGTTAAGACAGACTTTGCTTATGGATCCTAAAAAAGCAGGAAATAGCAATAATTCAGTACAGATCAGCCACATCCCAGCCTTCCTCCTATCGTGTCCTGAAATAACATTAGCCCAAGAATTGCAGGTTGGCCTGCCAAAATATCTGCACCAGGGACCCTGCAAAATCAGGCACTTGTGGTCACCCGATGTCACAAGTGGAGGGGGAGGAAGTGACCTGACACCCCCAAAAAAAAGGTCAAATCTCAGTCATACACCTGTAAATAGCAAGTGATGGAAGAAGATACATTTAAGAATACAAAAGGAAATGGGAACTGCAACTGTTTTATTACAAATGTTTATCCTAGAGCTAAGATACTGTAGGTCAAATCCTCCAAATTGTTCAAGGAAACAAAAAAACCCCTAAATGCTGCTGAAGAAAAATGGGGAGGATGGGACCCCTAAACCTCAACCTGCAGTTGAGCAGATCTGTGGCTGCTCCAAGTCTTAGCACCAGCAGCCTGGAGAACCTTGTGCTGATGAACCTCTCCATGGATTTATTTGGCCATCAAGCCCCTTTTTATTGCTACCTCACAGGGCTGCAGGGGGTTGAGTGTCTTTAAATGCAGCCATAGAAGAGAAACCTGTGAGACCACAGTTTTAAAAAGGAGCTTCTTCCACCCTCTTGCTATTAAATAAGATCTTTGCCCTTAATTTGAGACAATACTAGAAGAAATGTGTTCCTGACTGCAGGAACAACAGTCTCTCTCCCCAAAATTTTAAGTGCGTGCCATCCTGCAGTGTAATCTAATAAAGTCCCCACTCATCCCTCAACTTGTTCTTCAAGTTTCTGTCTTTTCTGGAAAAGTGAGCTCAGTCACGGCAAAGCTACAGCATGCAGGGGTTGTTACATGAGAACAGTTACACCTAGAAACTGCAATGATAAATGCATTCTGAAATGCTGCTATAAAAAAATAAAAAGAAACCAACCCAAGTAGGTGTGAGAGACAAGATATTCCAAGCATGGTCTGACACCCAAGAAGACACCATACCTCCCCTGCGGTATTAAGATAATACTGGGATTATATATTGTAAATTTCTGACTTATTTATTTTCTAAAAAAAAAAAGAAATAAACCATTGCATTTCTTAAATTGGATCACCTTTTTTAATTGCCATTAGTGGATATGGGAGCAAGTCCCAATGTTGCCCAATGTACTCACGTGTTAGAGACATCAGGTGCCCAGAGGTTTCTGCCATCTGTGCTCACAGTTCTCAAATTCAACTTCTTCAGTTGTTATGCAGTGAGGTTGTTGGGTTTTTTAAACATAATATCCCTCTCACACCCATTCTCCTCTGCACTAGTTCATTCCTTATCAGACTTAATGACCAAATTTATCAAAGGAAATTACTCACAGTCCAAATATTGTTCCTCATCCCCCAAACTGTTACTTGCCTCACTCCGACACTGCGGCCGCCGCCGCCTCCTCCTCCCAAGCACGGGTCAGAACAGCAACTTCAGCAGAATCAGAACTATTCTGGTGAGTTCACACTCCCCGTGCTGGCTGGGTCTGGGCTCAGCCCAGCACAGGACCCACCACGGGACGGGACAGGTCTGTCCCGCAGCAGCACCTCCCCAGCCAGGCCGGGCTCAGCCCAGAGAACGTTTTCTGCTGTGGGCAGCAAGAGATGCACAGAACTGTGGCCAAGCAGTGCCGGGGCACCACAGCACCAGCCCAGTTCCCTTCCTTGCTCATCCCGACAGCGGGCTGGGCCTCTTCACTGGCACATCACAGCTCCCGCGTGGGTATGTGTTATCAGTGGCCTCTTCCTTCTGCTGAGAGCAGTTGCCTTCACTGTTCTGGGACTGATGCTTCACTTCAGGAAGTGGTAAAATATTACTCCAGTTAGATCAGTTTTGTTGGTTTATAGAACAGCCTCCATCCCTGAAGGCTCAACTCACGCTGTGATGTTTGAGGGCCTTTGAAAAAAGATGACATACATCACAGCAAGGTAGAACTGCAGCCAGGAAGCACTTTAATATTTTGACTTAAACCAGCTGGCAGTGTTGGCAGTTCCAAACTGGAGCCCATGTTCATTAGCCCACCACTTCCCACACTGGGGCTGGCAATGGAGATCAAGGATGGTGTCAGAAATGGGATTAGCACAAGGAGCGGGGAGGATTTCCCAGTAAGAGCACAGTGTGGAGCCACAGCAATCCTAACTGTGAGGACAGCCTACAAACGGAGAAACACACCAAAAACCTGCCCAGAAACACACTGGCCCCGCGCGGGGCTCCCGTCACTGCTAGGCACCGATGATCTCCAGACATTAGGAACAGTCAATCTGCATTTCTCAGCCACGCAACGGTGCCTGCAGTTACTCCCCGAGATCCAGCAGCACAGGGATGAAACTGGGCAAAGGAGGAACTGAGCTTAAGCACATGCAAACATCCCATCAGCATAAATACAAACCCGGAATGCTCACTGTTTTACAGTCTGAGACTGCTGATAACAGCCCTTCAGAGCTGTTTCCAACTGTATTTCTGGGGTCAAAACAGCCACCACCTGCTCTCTGTGCCATTACGTGGCATATGTTGCTCAACACAGACTGAGCTGTTTGGTGTTTTTTCCCTCCCTTCTGCCACACACACAGCATCCAGCACAGCAGAAACACAGCTCTCGTGCTGGCTATGGGGGCTTGTCTCCAGCTTCAGACACCCAGTACATACTGGCCACCCAAGCCCCTCCAAGAGAAGTTTTTCAGAGGTTATTTTAAAAGACAACTCATCCCATCTCTCTGGAGGGAACCCAGACTCACTCAGATCAAACGGTGGACATGGGGTGTCCCCCTCTCTGTGCACACTGCCAAAGCACCAGGGGTTACAATTTTCCTCCAAAGCCTTACAGCAAATGAACCCAACAGAATAAACCCATGTTAGAGACAGGCATGTAAAGCAGGGGCAGAACAGCAGGGCCTGAGTTAGTGGAAGGTTTCACTCCTCTCTCCCCAGACACCACCACATTTCACAGGGACAGCCCCATGGCAGCTGCAGTGAAGAGGGCAAGGACACGCTTTCTTCCTCCAGACTGCACACGACAGGACAAATACTCTAAGCCAGGCTGGGCAGGTTCAGTCCCACTTCAAAGGCTGCTCCCACCTACAGCACCAGCGCAGCTGCAGCCTGTGTAAGGGGGGAAACTATCACCAGGGCCTCCTTCCCCCCGGCCGGCACCGACTTCCCCAGTCGCTTCATTTCCACCCTAGAGACCTCTCATTACTACATCGTGCCAACTCCTCAGCAGCACCCTTCAGGGAGAGCTCTCATACTGCCCATCAGCATTTTGAGGTCAATACAGCAAGCTGAACCCAGTACTCTCCTCTTCTAACCTTTTTAGCTCTTTTTGCCATTATCTCCAAGCAGAACATCAGTGCTCTGACAACTTCAGAACAACTTAAATGGGTTGGCCAAAGCCAGGGCTGAAACAATGCCAGAGTAAAACACTCTTCATGAGGCTTTTTTAAAGGTGTGGACATTTCAAAAAACAATCATAGCTCAGCTATACTATGACACAGATGTAAGAAAACTTAACTTCAGCAGTTTGGATTCATGTTATTAATGTCCTCTGATGTTTGAAGCCTGGGGAAGAAAACACACCATGATGACTCGTACCCGGACACCACATCACAGTTTCTATTGTGCAACCCTTCTGTTATTAAACACAGCACTGGCACAGTTTTATCAGGTGATTTATGAAGGATTTCATGAAAAACAGGTGGAATATTTTATGCATATTACATCTTGGTGTTAAAAAACATCTTCTAAATGTACTTTTCAGAGTGTATATGGAAGAATCACTAACTGTAAGCAAAGCCATGTCTCAGACAAAGTACAGACAGACCACATTCTGCACCAACACCTTCCCCTCCCAAAGTGAAACAGCCCTCATGCCTCAGAGGCCGGGCGTGCCAATGCTCCTGCAGACAGAATACTGTCTCTACACAAAACGTGATGAAATTTTCTGGAAGAATAGAAGTGGACAAAAGGAAGCAGAGGCACTAAACCAAATGTTACTGTAGAGGTTTCACACAACACATGAACTCTGACCATCCCTCCAGCAGCACAACGGCTCACAGAGTCACACCAGTATCTGGTTACTTACATACTCCTGAGGAGAAACGCCACCTTCTGATTTTCCAGCACTATTCCTGCCCACAGAGTTCAGACGTCCTTGAAGATTTCTTCATGCAGCTGTGCAGCCCTGCCTGTGTTTTTGCTTACCGTAGAATACTTGCTGACCACGGGGTGACATGGTAGTTGGATCAGATAGGTGTCTGTAATGAGGCTGTTACATACAGAAACCAAATTCAGTGGTAATTCAGACAACAATAGTGCCTGGTCAGACACTGAACAGCAGCAGATTTAGACACAATCTTAGATTCTTTTCACATTTTCACCTTTTACGTGGCATATTCTAAGTCTCATTCACTACCACTAAATTCTTTAGCCTGAAATACTTTCAGGAGCCCAAACTTTGTACTACATTCTTAAAAAAATTAAATAATGGGGATCCCTAAGCACAGGAGGACTCCAAACACAAGACACTGTACCTGGAGCATCAGCACAAGCACTCTCTAAAGCAAGAGCATTCCTATCAAAAGACACTTCAACTGAACTCATCTCTTGGCCAACATATTTTCAGGCAGCTTCCCTCATGAAAATTCAGCACTGACATTTAGGAAAAAAAAAAAAAAAAAAGAAAACCTAAAAGACTAAGATGGCACACACTTTCAGATGAGAAGCCCAAGCCAGGGGAAAGCTTCCCCTTGCTCTCTCTTCACTATCCTGTGGGAACTGGTGGCAGTGGGAAAGCCTGGGCCAGCGCCGCTCCCCTGGGCAGGCTGGCTTGCTTACGAGCACCTTTGTTATCGTCATGCCCTTCACGTTTCCTGAGCACTTCACAGACACGAGTGACAGCCTGAAGGTCATTGCTAAAGCGAATCAGTTTGCTGTGGTGAATAGATGCAGATGCCTATGAATATGATGCTGTCAACCAAACATTGAGAAGCAAATAGCCAGAAAATGCATGTTAGCTGATTGCTTTAGCTTTATTTCCATCATCATTCCCTAGGCAGTCAGGGACCTAGAAGCCTTTGATGTCTCTTCACAGCTCCAAACAAATGTCTGGCAATCCTGTCCTCCTCTGTAAGCAACAGTAACACATTTCCTTCCAGTCTGCACAACTCTGATGCCTCAATTTTTAATTGAAGAATGGACAGTGTGTATAGGCAGTTCTCTTTGCTCCCTTTCCTGCAACTACAGGAAAATTTACCTTCCAATATTTAGCGGCCACTCTGCACACTGCAAGCTGCTCTAGATATTCCTACAAACAGTATCCAGTTGAGAACCACAGTTCAGGCTCAGTTGGTACTGAATGATCAAAAATTGTCTTCTACCTCCATAATAAAGATACAGTGTTGACATGACCATCACTACTACAGAAGGAATTGCTGCACAGCAGCTACTGCATCTTAGAGACACTCTCCTTGCCCCACACATACCTCCACATGGTTGAGGTTCATTAATTTTTATCCCTATCTATAGACTAGGACTTAGGGTACAGCAAAATGCTTTCTCCAGGCTACAGGGGGAAGTGTAGGATTCTCATCACCAGACTGAACAATCTTAAAAGTTAGGAGCATCATTTGATTTAGGGTCCTTCTGTAATCACGGGTTAAAAGATAGGGGCCTCTAGAGAAAGATTTGTCCCGTTCTGAAATAAATGAGATAATAAGCTGCTGCATTCGACAGCATGGAACCCTGTTTGAGGAAGACAGGCACCATTATATACAAACAAGTGCAACTGGGAGATGACAGCAGTCACAGCCTCCCTGTTTGATTCAGCAAATTGTTCATATAAATTCAACCTGCCATCTTCAAAGGCCTACTATACGCTGATTGCCAGGGCTGTGGCAGCATGGAAAAGACTCAGTACTAGCAAGGCTGACAGGAAGGAAAAATAAAAGGGAATGATTCAGGTGAAACATGACACAAAACAACAGAAAACCCTGAGACGTAAGTGTAACCTTGTTGAAAGCATATACAAAAAGATATTCAGAGAAAACAACATCTCAAAGTATAATTATCCACTGAGTAGGCTATGAGCTCTTCAGAGAAGAGGCTACATTTTGTTACACACTTAGATATCACTTAGCATACAAGAAATCCCACTCCTGAATACTACTGCAATGCAAATTACAAACCTGCTCTGCTTATCATAATTCTCCTGACCGGCTGCCTGGTTCCTGGGGAAGGAGCTCTTGGCCCTGGAGACAGAGCTTCAATCTTTTAACTAATCTAGGTTTATTTTAGGATTTATATTTGATTCCACACTCATCTAAGTAATGGAGCAATTAATTGCTGATGTGATATGCCATGCACGAACTGTAAAGAGAGAAACACAAGAATCAGACACTTAATTCTATATTGGACAGGAAGATGGATCCTTTCTGCATTCTTCACAAATATGGTAATGAGTTTTTAAAATTTTATAAGATACTTGCATGCAATCTTTCAAGGGCCTTCCCTCACTGTGTTTAGTCAGACTTGGGCCAAAGTATAAAACGGCGTTAAATATTAAACCTGTCATCCCTGTCTCCCAGAAATGTTTGTTTCAGGATTCAGGCTCCTGCTATGGTCTCTTCTTGTTTTAAAAGCCACATAGCCACAGAATAGGTAAGTTAGACCAGACTTAAAGGTTCACACTTCCCTTACATCTCTGAACTATAAACATATTTTAAAGCATCTCAGCACCGCAACAGGCTTATGAATAAATCAAGATCTACTTTAATTTAAAACACAAGTGCAAAGGATTCACAACTACAGATGAGCAGGATCATTTGTTTCAAATTATAAATCTTTTCAAAGCCCTGCTCTTTTGCATAAAAAAAGCAGTATATCTGGAATACAGAAACATTTTACATCAAAAAATTTCCAGTGCAGCTAAGGAGGAGCTAAATGAATTAATTTCAACCAACTTCATCAGCCCCAAACTTAGACATCCAGTCTAGGCAAACCACCTACGATCGCACTACTGGCCACAGGCAGAGTGGTATCGAGAGACAGCGATTTCACCCTTCAGCAGGTATCTGAGCTAAGGAGATGAATCACCCTCTGGAGGTGTTCCTCTCACCTCGGTCTACAGAGCCAACCTATATGCTTCGCAGACTGGGTGCCCACCATCTAGATGGCTGGCATTAGTGCAGATGAATTCCATCCCAAATTACTTCAAGTAATCAACTGTGGCTTCAATTCTGAAGCAGGATCTGTAACTGGAGTAAATAGAGGATAGAGATTATTAACATCTTCTGAAGAAAATGCAATTATGAGGTTAGTTTTCTGAGACAGTAGGACTGTCCCGAGAATAACTTAAATTCCAATAAATTTGTGTTTGGAGTTTCATAATAGGATCCCAGTTCCACATATAAGATTATAGTCTTGAGACCTCACAACAATACACACCATTACTGTACAATGTTACATCCTGACCTAGAGTCCAATTACCTTGACTATCTCACTGCTCAGAAAGTGTATCATACAAAATATCTAAATCTATTTTAAAATAACTGAAAGAGCTGTTTACACAACCAGTAACCTTCCAGATGTACCAGCAAAGGGATGGTGGGGAAGGGCATACCAATAACAAAACATACATCAAAAGTTTCTCTTCTCCCCGTGTTTCTGCAGCAGCAAGCAGGGGAGATAGAGGCTCAACAAACCGTCTCACACAAACACAAAAATCTCTCCTGGGATATGCAGGACAGCTGAGACTTTTTTTCATTCAGTCTCCCAGAGCATCCCCCAAGTGCTGCCCAACAAGTGTCTCAGGGCAGCATTTCTCAGGCTCTCTTGGGAGAAAGGACTTGGAAGGAAAGATGCCTGGAAACCAAACATAGAAACAAGCTTTCACAGACTCTCTGTTCCAACCAGCATGGGAGGTGTTGCATACTGTCAATTTTCAACCACAAGATCCTGGTGGCAAGAACACTTGTCTTCACAGAGTCCGTTCGGAGGCCTGTATCCAAGGGTTCCCCCCTCCAAAAGTTTAAGATCATGAAATGGATTCAAGATTGACCACTAAACCATACATATTCCTCAGCAAGAGAAGCATGTTGATGCAAGAGTGCCATTAAGAAACAAATATATACATATCACATCTGCTCCCTAGGAAAATACGTACAGTTTTCTAGGTCCACATTTAACCGAAGGAAATGAAAATCATCTGTGAAAAAGTCTCAGAGGAAAAAATTGTCAAGTCTTTGTGCATTGTTTGAGAGTTTAAAGGGGTCTGTGCCCCAAAAATGTACATTTGAGTCAGCTCAAGACTCCAGTGTAGAACTAAGGAAACAAAGATCACATTTCTAATTGGGAAATATTGTTCCAGTTCAGTAGTCAGCAGCCAAGGTTTGCAGGAACTTGCAGGCATTCAGATATGCAACTTCAGACTCTGCTTTAAAATGCCATTCTTTGGAAGAAGCGATCCACAAACCACGAAATACCTGCTTTATTCTTGAGACATACTTGGTCTTATTTGGATCTAGTATGTATTGATTGTCTTCAGCAAAAGAGAAGCCACAAAAGGCTGAGAATGCAAGGACAGTATTCACATTCATCCTTTAAAATGATTGCTGAAAAGCCCCAAGCACCATTCACAGGATAAGACTGCCTGGTCTCTTGATTTTTTTTTTTAATAAACATTACTTTTTCCTAGCATTTCCCCTTATGTCAAGTCAGCAGGTAGAGGTACGCTTTCTGTATTGTTGGATAAGGGGGACTAGGCACTCTGGAAGTCCTGTCTGGAGCAAAAAGGGGTGATCCAGAAGTTCTTGTGCTGTTGCTCTTTCTAGCGGATCCCGTGTCAACATCCTTTCCAAGAAGTCTCTCAGAACGGGGGAGGTCTGTGAAAAAGCAACCAACCAAGTCAACCCCAGAAAGGAACCGGGCAACAGCTCATGCAACAACAGGTCACTGAGGCAGGTTTGGTGAAAAAAGATCCTGTACATTTCAACTTCGTAACCCTGCTCTTGCACAGAAATGTACCATGAGATAGCATGTTTTTTATGCTACAGTAATAACCTCCTGTCACCGGTAGGCACATTTACACAGGTTGGTTTCTTTTTAATGGGGCACAGCAAACTAAGACATGACAGCCCACCATGTCCTTCCATCTAAGTTAATTTTGTTTCCCATTTTGCTATTTAATTTTTTCTGCATTTCAGCTCAAACATTCAACAGAATTCCTGCTACCTGAGACACATCACTTGGGGGCAAAGGGTTGATCAATTCATTCTTTAACCGGCCACAGATTGTGGAAAAAGCAGTTAAATAGGATTCCCAAATAGGTTTTGAGAGTCTGGAAACCTGATGCTGCCTGTACAAGTAGATGAAGCAACTGCAGAACAATACACTGAAAAGCTAAATGACCTCAGCAGGTTTGTCCTTCAAAAGATGTGTAAAAGCCTGTTGAGTAGCCAGACCCAAGAACCACTTACAGGCATTGCACATCTCTTGCTGGTGGTAATCCTCTGCATCATTAAAAGTGAATAAAAAATGAACTTGGTATATATTTATTTATTTTAATGTCACTAATTACATCCAGTTTAGATCAGGGGCATTTTCCCAGCTCTGGTTAACTCAGAAGTAGATCATAAAATACTGTTCACGTTGAGCTACTGTTTATTTCATGAGTGCTTTGAACAACTTCACTGTGATTGCTAGAGGGAAAAGGCACACCACAGCTAAGTACGAGTGCCAGGATCCAGAGTGTATCCCTCTGTCAATAAATCTAGTTATGCCGCAGAAAAGCAGCAAAGCTTATCCCAGGTGGCATCCGTCTAACCTGCTGCACCCAGCGCTGCAGTGGTTGACCACAGCGAGCCTTTAGCTGTAACTGGAACGGAGGGCTGGGCCCAGCACTGGTGCTGAGCTCCGCTCACACAGCGGCGAGGCGGGGAGGATGGCTACCAGCCTGGCAACCCAGAGGTCTGCTGGAAGCCACTTTGCTTCCCAGAACAAAATGGAGCAGAACAAGACTGCAAACAGCTCCAGCTTTCGCAGCCTGTGGCAGGGTCATCTCACCAAGCAAGGTGTGCGACCCAAAGCAGAACTGGCTTTACACCACCTAAGGAGTGCAAGCACTGGGTCCAGAGCGTGACCTTGAAATTGTAATCAGTGTTGCAAAGGCAAAGAGGAAAGAGCAGCTGTTGATGTTTGAGTGTATGCTGTTAGTTCAGCAGTCTACTCTGTTAAATAATTCAGTTTTAGCAGCTGCAGATATTCTGATTAATTGGAAAGGCCGAATAGCTCAGAATGCTGCAGAAGCTATTTGATCTCAGAGGCTTGGACTGAAATGAAAGGAGGGCTGCTCTAAGTGGTGACTAAAAGGTAATCACTGCATTTCTTATGTCACTGATGCTTTTTTCATAAGAAACCATGAAGCTGAGTTCATCTTCAAAGCAGCTGCAGTGTCTTCATGAACTACTGTCTGCATCGAGCTCCCCTGCTCTGGCCATAATTCAGTCTTCGCAGTCCTGAAAGCCTTGAGGACAAAAACTCCCAAGAGCAAGGATGGTCCTATTTACCTCCCTAGAAGATGAGCTGTGCTGTCGACATCAGCAAGATATTAAGTGTTGGGGCCACCTGAAGCAGCTTTGATTTGCATTTTCAGGTTTATGCCCAAGTGACCTTACATTATTAGGGCTATTTCCCAAACCAGCCACTAGCTGTCAGCAGCAGCTTACATCCACTGAGGCACCAGGGCCAAAGAAGTTCCCCAAGAAACATGTCCTAGCAAGATCACTTTCATAGCCAGCTTTACTGGGAACAGCTGATACGGATGTTTCCCCCATGATAATCATCAGGTTTATGAGTGTTTGCCAATATGCTCACCCTGTGGAAGTTTTTCAGCTTGGGAGGAGGACTGTCACGGAGTCTCTTCATTGCCTGGACTGGAGAATCACTAAAATAGGGGGGTTCTCCATCCACCATTTCTATCACCATGATGCCCAGAGACCAGATATCCACCTGTGGGAGCCAATGTCACATCAATACACACAGCTGAGAGCAGCAGGGCCTTGCTTGGATGCTTTCACAAAGACTACAACAGCCCACCCATGACAAATGGTACCAAGAGAGTAAAACCCACTCGATGCCAGTGGACTCCTTACTGCAGTTTAACAAAGACAGCTTTCTGCCTAGAACCAAGCCACACTGGTGTCGCAACATGTGAAGGTCTGCAAGTAACTGCTTGTGCTACACCAGGTTGGTTGGTAAACAAAACTAATCCATCTGCTGCCACCTGCCCATAATTCCAGAGCTCACATCTGCGCCTTCCTCTCCCTCTCCTCCCCTCCCTTTATGGCATTGATTGATTTACTGATCCATATCATGTCACAGGCTGCTCCTGGCTAACATCTGTCCACACTACAGCAGATACAAGCCTATGCCAAGCTTCAGGTATAAGATTAGAATAAGTTTACTCCTTGTTCCTGGAAGCAGAACAACCCGTTTTTCTACTGTTTTAGGAAATATTGATATCATCACAATCAAACCTGTAGTCATAGTTGTATCTATAGTAGCATAGGTATATTTTAAATAGACTCTAGAGGCTCTTCCTAGAAAAGCCAATAGTTATTTTCCTGTGACACTCCAGATTATTATTTGCTACCTGTTCTGATATGAAGGAAGTGGTCCCGTACCTCGGTAGTGTATGGTATCCTTGCAATAACTTCTGGAGCCATCCAGTAAGGAGTACCTACTAGGGACTTCCTTTTAGGTACATCTTTACTGATCTGAGCACAGAAGCCAAAATCTGAGAGTTTGACCTGTACAAAGAGAAAAGCAACTAACCTTAAAAATAATTTTTTAACAACATGGAAGGAAACACCAAAGACGAAAACAAAGGGAGCAAGAGGACAAAAGTACAAACAAGAGATTGAACAGGACAGAAATAAGGAGACAAAGGCTGCAGCAGCAGAAGACACAAAACAATTTGTCTGAGGAAACATACCCTTCCATCCAGTGTCAAAAGAATGGAGTCGCTCTTAATGTCTCGGTGAATGACCCCCTGAGAGTGAAGATATGACAGAGCCTGCAGCACTGATTCACACACTGTTGCAATTTGCTCTTCGTTTAGCCTGAAATTAAAGACACAGGAGTTTAACTGTATTGTACTGGGCAGTGGAGAGCAGTCCTTCACAGGTCCTCTTTAAAGGCACCATGCAATTCTGCAGTTGAATTGCGGATATTTTGATTCCCCATGACCATTACTATCTCACTTTTATTGTTCTTCTATGACTGTCTGTTACTGTTGAAAACATTTTTGTCTTGACGGTTAGCAATTCTGCTTTTTTTTAAGTCTAATACAGAGAAATTGCCTTTTAAATCTTGTATCTAAATTCATTCTGCAAGATGCTGTTTCAAGCAGTTCTGATAGTCAAGACTGCATCTTCATGCCAAGGTGCCGCAGGAACTGTCGAGACAGCTATTTTTTAAGCAAATACAGTAAAGCTATTGTTTACATGCCTTATTGTGCAACTTCATCCAGAAAGCATCTAAACATGTAATTTGATAGCAAATAGAAGGATCTTTAGAGGTTTCGTGAAGCTAGACACTTTGGATACTCTGATACCTCACTAAAGGTAGCACAGGTTACAAGCTGTGAAGACACTCCCTAATTTTACCACTCTCTCTGTTAGCACACTGGGCATGAGCACCAAGAGCCTTCTCTTTAGAAGCTCTTGCTCTTTGGAATACCAATACAGGAACCTTCATGATCAAGTATAAGCAAAAATGATAGAAATTAAAATTATCTCCTGTAGCTGGGGACGACAGCGCTCTCTGCACGTTTATACTCAGCAGTGCTAGAAGTTAAGTATTTCAAAAAATAGCTGAAGTACCCAATTTGAGTATTTTTGATTCTCAGCCTGTCTCTAGCAGTTGTTTCAAACAACTGTCAGTTGAGGGCATAGAAATGATACCTCCTCAAACCCAGGTCCGCAAGTAAGACTGAGGAGAAGAAAGCCCGCAGAAGGCAGAACTGTGCAAAGCGCACCAGGATAAGAGCAATTTCTACTCATTCATGAAGGAGGTTGCACCATCAGCTGAGAAATTAATACTTCAATTGCTTGTTTGATATTCCATATTTTGCTCTATCAAACTAATCCTCTGACCAGGACAACTACATGTGGCTGCACTGTGCCGTGCTGGGGGCAAATATATCTGAAGGATGGCAGGGGACTACTTTTACCATTATGATTTAACCTGTAAAGGGAGAGGGATAAAGACTAACTGTGGGACTTCACTGATACAGAACCTAACCTGTTTAGAAACAGTGTTTTTAATTTAATAGTGCATGAGCTGTATGGAAAGCTGATCCACTTCTGAGGTCTCTGGTTCTAGAACAAGAGGTGTACTTTCAGCTTGTCACATAAGGAATTTGGTTTCAGTCAAGTGACTGCATAGTGTAAAACAGATTACTAGAGGATTACCTCACTCCTGAAGATATAAATCAGTTATCAACTTCACCAAGAGTGGAATGAGGGTATTTTCCTCTCTGTGAAAAATTGACAGAGGCTTGCAGCTTACTTCTGATAAATGTTAAGGTTATAACAGATCCTGTTTCCATCATGTGGAAAAACAATAATCCATTAAAAGGTTCAACAGAAGGCTTCATAAAATAACTGAAATCTAGGCTGAGGTCCCACAATGGAATTCAGTCTCACTAGTGGATATAAACTGCACAGACCCTTCATATACCTCTTCAGAATATTTTTTTTTATTTATCTGTAATTCCATTGGTTCTAATACCAGCTAAGAGCTACAAGAGTTTCACTGGCTCTGAAATGCTGTAACTCAGCACTGTTCAGGATTAAATGTTCTTTTTCCTGTCCAGAAGCAAATACACAACTCACAGTGAAACCTTGGTTCTCAGCCCTCCAAAATGTTGTGCCTCTGAACTCAGTGCTGGAGGGCCTGGCCAGCTAAGTGTCTCCAAGACACTCCTTACAGGTGGGGTTGTAGAGGCTACAGAGGACAGTGTGCTTTTTTAATGCCTCCCAAATACATCACATATGCACTTCTAAAACAGACAACCCAACAGAGAAGATATATGCCCCAAATCCACCACAGGATCAGTAAAGGCTTGTCAAAGCATGTAAGTGAATTAAAGGCATACTATGATTAAAAAAAAGTAAATACAATTAGTGTTAGCCATACTACCTAGTTATGAACCAATTAAGATTCTGAATATTCAGAAAAGGAAAGCCCATCCTACAGACTTTCTTGGTCAGTCTTTTCATTGGCGTTCCCTGCACCAGTTTACAGCCTCGCAGGACTGCTCGGAGGCAGAAGGATCCCCCAGGGTCAAGGGTAAGACACGATCATCATAACTGCACCATCAGAACACCTGTGAGTGGGATTCTAGAGCCCATTTGAGAACAATGTCTTTGCCATACAGGGATGCTTTGGGCATTAATGAAGCAGTGTGGATAAGAAAACAAATTTAGCAGAGTGTCCAGTAGTTGCTATCCTTAGGCAATGAAATTTGGGAAGGAATCCAGATCTCAAGGCCCTGCTGCACTTCTCCAGAGAAGGTAGCCACAGATTCAACCTCACTAAGGCTGCAACACCAAAAGTTACTTCTGCATGCTCTTTAATACTTATTCAATGAACTTCCTGGCCAGAATTCAATGGATATAGTAAACAATACTTTTTACAAGTACTATGTTTTACACAGAAGGTCATCAAGGAGATGAATGGTGGGTATCTAAACAGATCAGTACCGTAAATGAGGTCCCTTCTACATCAGAAGTATTATCGCATATTTCAAGCGGATGACAGTTATAAAATGTAGTAATTTCAGGCACTGCAAACACAAGACCTCAGAGGGAATCTCTGTTCTACTGCTCTTGACTGTCAGGTGGGAACACAAGTGTTGGTGTTTCGGATTTTGCTTCGTACCTGATCTGAGAGACAATGTCTGTGAGGGCTCCGCCCTGCAGGAACTCCATCAGCACCCAGAGCTCCTCTCCCACTAGATAGCTCTTGTACATCTCCACTACGTTGACATGTTGATAGTCCCTCATTATCACCACCTGTAAAAACACAGTGGACAACTGACGACCACCACAAAAGCACTAACAACACTTAATCTTATCCAACAAAGCAAGCATGCACAACCCTCTGAATACAATGCAGTAGCCTCCATCCCCTGGGTCACTATTTTTTGGTATTGGCATAATTCTATTAAAAAAGGAAGAGATCTCCTGCTCTTCCCTTCTTTTTACCACACTGAGTGTTACCATGGCTTTACAGTGGACAGCAGAGCCGCACCTCTCATCACTATTCTCACCTCATTGAAAAGGAGCTCCCGGCGCTGCTGCTTTCTCAGATCCATCATTTTCACTGCCACTTGCCGCCCCGAGTGCTTCTCTCGAGCAATACAGACAATACCTGTGGATCCTTCACCAATCTTTACATAATTCTCCAGCAATGTCCGCGGATCCCCCTGGTCCACAACCATCCTAAGGGCAGCTTTGAACTGCTCATGAGTCACAACCACCGGGTCCTCGCTGGCCAGCTGCCCTTTCACAGAAGAGTCCTGGGGAAGGTGAAGGTTGCTAGAACTGGTCTGAGTTTGCCGGTTCCTGGGAGACCCTGCTGGTGACGGCCTGCCTTGAGGCACTGCAATTGCCTTCTCCACTGTTGGTGATTTCTGGGGTGTCCCAGCTTCTGAGATCATCCTGGGGAAATCGGATGCAGGCTGATCTGGTGGAAGAGACTGGGCTTTGGCTGCAGGGCTGCGTGGTGAACCCCATTGCTGGGGCCTGAAGAAAGCACTGGGCTTTGAGAAGAACAAGTATGAAAGTGGAAGAAAGAAAAACTGATGGTTAGATTAACAAGAAGAGATGATGGGAACCAGCTGCGTGTCATGCCACTCTGGCCTAGTACATGTTGTAGCAGACTGGAGTCAAGAGCTCTAAGTTCTTCTCTCCAGGTCTGCCCAACATGTGCTGTGTAACTAAGGGAAGCCACATGGATGCAGATTTTCAAGAATCAGTTACAGGATGGGTGCTACACTTTAAGGACCTTCAAACTGAGACAGTTTAGAAGAGATCTTTTAAAACACATGCTTTTTAAAAAAAAAAAAAAAAAAAAAAAAAAAGCACAAAAAACCCACCCCACCAAATAAAAAACAAAAACAACAACAATAAAAAAAACCACCAAAACCCACAGGAAAAAAAAAAAAAGCAGGAAGCTGCTAAAACGCATTCCAACCTTGCCACCAAAACTCAGGGGCAACCTGTGTTGCAGAGAATTTGAAAATCCTTTATCCCTCTGTGCCTCTGATCTTCCTATATATAAAAGGAAAGAGGATTCATGCCAAAGCTGTAAATCACTTTGATGTCTTGGCCTAATTCCCTTTGGGTAGTTACACTCTGCCTACTGAAAACTTTCTCTGCACTTTCCACTGGTACCTGCAGAGCACTCCTGTCGATCAGACACAGAATTAGCTCTGTTTTGGGAAAAGCACCGTGAACTGGGACAGCTGTGGGTGGCCAGCGTGAGACTTCAGCCTCACAGAGCCACCTGCCACCTCAAACCCCACCTACAATGAATTTGGATTAGCAGTGCTCTTTCCCAAAGCACTCGAGGCTTTCGGAGACCTCCCACTCATGTACCGAGCCGGCCCAACCCTGTGTTTAGTTTATGAGATCTAGTAAGATCACAGCCTGCGGTAATGTGGCTTCAGGATACACATTCCCATGCTAGCACTACTACTCCCAAGAAGGATAAAAATCCTGAAGTGCTAATACTCACCCTGGAAATGCTGACTAATTAAAATTCAACATCATCTAGCAGGTTAGGTATAAAATACATTATATACTTAGTTATATGCAAAGTGGTAGTGGATCTGACAAAGTAGTAACTTCAGAAAGAGCAAGCCAATCATTTATATTATAGGGCAAAATAAAAACTTCAAAGCAACAAGCTTTTTCTCTCTCACAGTTCAGACAGATTAGTAAATTAGTAATATGACTATGGGAACAGAAAACTGCCAATAGAAAAATTTTTAAAAGAGCACTCATTTTCTGTCTCAGACAGAAAATAATTGTATAGAATGTAATTCTATGCACTTTGGTTTTTAATCAAGGATTTCTGTCAACAGTAAAATCTGCATAAACCTAACACACATACAGCTCATTTTCACACACACACAAGCCCTGAAAGTATGATTTAGGAGCTCCTGGCATCGGGGTGCAGGAGAGCGCAAACACAAACTGCCTGTCAGAAGCTACTTCCTCCTCATTTACCAGCTCCACCCCTGCAGTCCTGTAGAGACATGCTCATGGCAACGAAGTATTTATTTCCCAACTCTTGTTTTGTCTCAGGATGTAGGGGGGGAAGAAAAAAAAAAAAAAAAAAAAAGGTTTATATAACCTAGAGCACGCAAAAGGGCACACAACATGCATGCAAGCTCACACATGTCACCTAACCACACATAAGGATTATTTCCTGCTCCTGTAATTTGACAGCCCCTACATACACATTTTCAGTCCCTGGACATTTTGAGATGTCACTGGTTCTCCCACTCCTTCCCCCATATTAGGTCAAAAGAAGAGAGCACTCGACCTTCCTGTGGTGACTACAGGCAGCCTGTCAAGGCACCCACCTCCCCATTTTCAGCCAATTCTATCCCCTTTCCATTTCATCTGCAATTATGCATTTCTTGCACATCACAATTACCCATCATCATCTCCATCTGCGAGGGAGCCTACGGTTTTAATCATTGGAGCCTGTTAAGAACAGCTTAGAGAAACAATTGCCCGCGAAGGCACAGATCCCTCACCAGAGCAGGGAAATGGAGCAGATAACCTCAAGGTCTTTCCTACTCCTCTCCTCTCCCAAGCAGCTCAAGTTCAATCACACCCAGGCACATCTATGTGCACACACAATTTGATTGGTAACCTCTGCTCCTACTTGTGAAAGTGCTGAGGCACGGCAAGGCCACCCTTGCTAGAGAAGAAAGAAGCCGTCAGTCCTCCTGAGAGCCCAGGGACAGGCCTCCGGCCAGTATTGATCAGCCCAGTAAGTGTAGTTTGTGCTATGCAAGAACTGCATTCCGTTCAAATCCCACTCCCGGGGAAAGGGAACCCGCAGGGAGGAGGCTGTGTCAAAGTCTTGAGCCTGGTCCTTCCGCAAATTCCTAGGAGACGGGTTGGAGAGAGCCCCACCCTGCGACAGTCCAGCACAGCCCATGTTGTCGGGCTGGTGGTTCCTGTCGTCTCCCTCCCAGCTCAGCGACTCCACGCCTGCTAGAAATCATCCTGGCCTCGCACCAGCCCACCACAGCCTCCAAAACCACCCGGCAGCTGCGCAAGGGCTGCGAGTGCCGCCTTAGCCTGGGATGAGCTAGAAGCGGTGGCCTGAAGGGCTGCGTTTCCTATCCAGTAACAGGGACCAGAGTTTTTCCTCCAGGTTTAATAAGAAGTGAGTCATTCATTCAGGATAGCTTTCCTGGGGGAGATGTAGCTATGAGCTGTCCCATCCTTACCAAAAACCAACAGTGAGATTTCCTGTTTGACAGTACTGTGGGTGCTGATGGAAATGTTCCTGTTGTAGGCAGGTTGGCAGATACAGCTATAACCAACAAGCTCTCCTGAGGTAGTTCTACTTCGCACAGGCAAAAGAATACATTACTAATGTAAATTATGGCAATTTCCCAAATGGCAAAAGCACATTTATGCTAGTATAACGGCACTTAAGTTATGCCTTTACTACTACAGAAGGGCAAAAATGAGTAAGTTCCCTACCTCCTTCCCAGCCTACACTCCTGCAAGCACAGCTCCGCTAACAAGACTTTCTCATGTGGATCTGGGCTGCCATTTTGAGCTATGCCTAGCAGTATATTTTGTGAAGCTTAGGTGGACTGCATGTTTCCCTTGGCCAGGACTATTTTGATTCCAGCATTAATCATAACAATAACAGATGGCTGCATGATGTTTGAACAAATTAAATTTGTTCAGCTGTGTAAGTAACCTCTGGAACGGTAAAGTCAACATTGCGCTCAAAAATACGGAATAACTTATACCTTTATCTGCAGGGAAGGGCCTGACTTGTTTGAGCCGCCGGATGAGGGGAACACACTGCGTAACAGCCTCCTCTTCAAGCTGTTCTCCCTTGACTTGGAGCTAGGGCTGCCCTCCCCAGAGGGCCTGGAGTTTGCTTGGCGTACGAGACAAGGCTGAGGCCAGCACTCTTCCAAGCTCTTTTTTCCAGTCTTCTCGCTCTCACCCGGTAGAGTTGGCATGTGCTGCAAAGCAGAGGCACGCTGGAGGCAGCTGCCGTCAGCGCCCTGGAACTCTGAAGGCCCGAGGGACTGTGCTTTCATTACCATACCATTGGGATGAGCCTGGCCTTCCAATCGGGGTTTGTAATCTGGCCACATAGTCTGCCTCCGGGTCACCTTGCTCCCACCATTGCAATTGAGGTAGTTTCCGTATTTGTCTGCCCAGTCTGCTTCAGGGCTCTGCAGATACATGTCTGGGGGTCTGTCCTCCCCAGGAGCCCAAGGGACTGCGCTCTCCTCCGGCTGGTGGGGCTCCTTCCCCTCAGAGTGTTCGAACTGATGGCAGAAAGCTTCTGGATGTCGTTGAGTATCCCGGAGATATAGCCTTCCACTTCCACAGTGCTGCCCCTCACCACCGTCTGTGAAACATAGGGAGGGGGGGGGAAAACACTTAGACTTGTGAAAATGGAAGTTCAGTTTATCTTGGCAGACATCGGATACTGTTTGTCTAGCCAAAGAAGACTCAAGGAATTTAGGGAAAGAAGATCTTTTTTTTCTGTCTTTTCCCATTGTTGTTTTATCCCCTCAGTAAAGGACAAAGGGAATCATTAGGCTACATCCTTCTGTCAGAGGCAGCAGTGCTCTCAGTCAGAACAGGGAATTCTGCTGCTGTGCTCACATTCTACAAGACAGCATTAGAGCAAAACTGGGATGTTTTCAGCACTCATGACTCTCTTGTGCTGAAATCGTACTACACTACATCACTAACTTTGGCTCAACAAGCTCCAGAGAATATTAGTTCTCAGGAGAAGTTACAGCATGCCATGAGCTCTATCTGCAAAAATCACCTTGCCTTTCCAATACAAGGTTCATCTCTCCCCTGTAGCACTCTCAAGAGTGTTGTAATCAGCTTTAGTCTGCTTTTTGCTAATGCATCTTAATCCTGACCAGTGAAGACCACACTGTTCCAACACTGCATCCTTCCTCTGTTCTGCCAAGCTATTATAATTAAAAATGATGAACAAAGGGTCACAACAGCTCACAACTGCCTTGTAAGCAAACGATGAAGAACAAGGCTTCCATCCAAACAAGCAACAGCATTATACAAGTAGGACACTTGAAGCTGTCGGTATATCACGTAGTGCTCTACCTTGTTTATTCTGGAACTGAAAAGCTTACAGAAGCTTTTTTAGTTCTGGGAATCAAAACGTTTCATTTCTTCACAGAAATTCACAGCATAGGATTACTCCTACACTTTCATGAATCTCTGCCTGAGGAAAGTCCTTCCCTGAAGTGATGGCAATCTCCTGTTTGCTAACTGAACTCCAGGGATCTTCCAAATATGCTGAATTAATTACACCAAGACTAATAACTAGCTTGTGCAAAACAGCAGCTCCAGTAATTTCAACAGAATGCCATCACAGTGCACAAAATGAGCACCTGGTTTGCTCAGGGTCTGAGAATGAAAGGCAGAATAGAAGATATTGTCAAGCATGGTGAAGAAAGGACAATCCGACTTATACCATTGCATACACAACATCACATGCTGCAGGAAATTCTGCTTTTCAGTCCTACTGCAGCAATATACCTCCCTCACCACATACTGCACCTTCCTCCATGGCCCCAGCTGCTGTCAAGTAAGCAACATGCTGAGGACACTCACTCCTCAAGCGGTTTCCATCACTTTTGGATCAAATTCAATAGGGCAAAAATACCAAAAGTAAATGGTTAAAAACCCAGTGTCTGAAAGTTGTCAGTGGGGTGGGCAGAGTCTGCTGTCCATTCTAATTTGTCCATTAGATATGCCAGACGTATCAGTTTCCCTCAGTTATGCACTCAATTATGAGCACTAGTTCATAAACAAGGCTGAGCAGGGACGGATGTGATATGTGCACCCCCAAGCCCCAGAGCACTCAGCAGGATGCCTCCACACCCTTGCTCATGCTTGCAGAGGCAGATGGAAAAGAAAGAGTCCCTCTTCCAGTGCTCACTGATGGTTCAATATTTCTACACACTGGGAAAAAGAATAACTCAAAATAGAGTTGGAGTAAATCTCAAGAGTTCAGCTAGTCCAAAGTAGAGGGACAAAAGTCATCCCAGAAAGAATTATATCTAGCATATTCTCAAAGTAAGAAGTCTCCAAGAACAGATGCTATGGCCTCGCTAGAAAATCCATTCCAGTGTCACCCCCTAGTTAAAAACTTCCCAAAATTAGACTCAAGTCACTCCTGTTGCACTTCTAAGTCCATTAAGTCAGCCCTATCCCCCAGTGGACAGACAAAATGGGGGTTAGCTGTATTTTGCAGCTGTGTTTAAAGACTGCATCAGATTAATGAAGAAATACCCAAATTTGAGCCAAATCTATACAGAGTGCTCTTACAAAGAGCATGTCTTATTGACCAAAATTCAGAAATTATAATTTTAAAAAGAAAAGTAACCCTTTACAAGCTACAGACAGTATCTGTCAAAAAATAAGGGAAAAACTATGATAGTTGAATCCAGGACTCTATGTATAAGGGCTTGGCCTAATAGTGCAAATTAGCACTTAAAAAAACAACAACAACAACAAAACAAAACAAACAAACAAAAAAAAACACAACACCAAACCAAACAACTAACAACTTACTATATATTGGTAACATTGAAATCATTGAACAGGAATTTATTGAAATGAAGCTTACCAGAAATAATCAACTATTCAATGCAGTCTAGGAGAGTATTTGCACTTGAAAAAACCTCAGCATTAGTTTAAAATTCTTCTCTAGTTTTTAAAGACTGTTGGCTATTCTGACCTTGTTCTCAAAGATTTCTACCTCCTTTCAGTTTTTACCATCTACAGGTTTAATAAATCATATATGAAAGTACCGACCAGTATTAAGACTCGAGACAAACTCCAGTAAATCTCTTCACGCACTTGTCTTGACAGTGATGCCTCCAACTTTTCTTTTGAGTATACTTTTCCCAATACTTGAAAAAACTTGCTCAGTTTGCTCTGAGAATGCCATAGGCAGAGTGTAAAGAATATAACTGAAGTCAAGATATAGGAGAGCACTATCATTTCTCCCTGACCCAAAGCCTGATACCCTGTGATTGATGGAAATTGGGTTTCTTGACATGATTTGTTCTTGATAAATCCATGCTGGCTGCTAGCAATTACCCTGCTATCTCCTAGGAAGTGGTTGCAAATGGATTACTTACTTATTTGTTCCAGTCTCTTTCTGGGAATTGAAATTATTCTGACTGATCTGCAATTCCTTGAATTTCATTAAGCCCAGCTAACTCGAAAATATGTAACTTAGATAAGAAGTCTCATTCTTGTTCATGTTCTTTTCTTATTCTAGCCTGCGTTCTTATCCCTTCCTGCTCATGCTAATTGTGTTAGCCTGCTGATCACAGTTAACCTTCTCAATAAAGACTGAGGAAAAATCATTAAACATTTAAGAATTCTCAGTGTCATCTGTTATTAATTTTCTTCCAAAATGAGCAGTGAACAAATTCTTTCCTTCATCCTCCTTCTCCTCCTCAGTGTACTTATGAGGTCTCCTTAGTGCCCTTTACGTTCTTTGAGAATAACATCTCTTTTTGTGCCTTGGCCTTCCAGTTTTGTTCCTACATAAATTTCTTTTCTATTTGCCCTTTAGAACTTGACCTAGTTTCCACCCTTCTGAGCAATCCTCCTGCAGTTTAAGCTCATTAGAGAGCTCCTGATCTAACCAAGTTGGTCTCTTATTACACATTTTATCTATTCTCTGGATTGTGGTCCTATCTGCTACTACATTTTGAACCTCAAAGCAGATTCAGGACACCATAAAGCAGAAAGCAATACCTCCTCCCTTTTTCTTTTACCTGTTCTTCCTGAGCAAGTTTTTCCTTTCTAAATCAGCATTCTGCTCAAAGATCCTGATGTACCATTTAAATTGCATGTTTGATTTTGCATTATATTAAAATGTAGTCCCATTTTGACCCCATGTTTTAAGCATCTGTACACAAAAAGCTAAATATATTAATCAGAGAGATAACTATTTTCTTTTATGTCCCTCCTACAATCCAGGTAATAACACCTTTAATTTACAATGTACCTTTCAGTTTTTAGGCCCCTGTACGGTTTTTTTTTACCTGGGAAAAAAAACTTCCCACAAGCTAGCAAGACTTCAGACACAGTAATTCTGTCACCATCTTTCATTTCCTTTTCCAAGAGGTCACCATGGCTCTGCCTCTCTTCACACAGCAGGTCCCTGCAGTCACTTATGAGCACACAGTCTCCAGATGCCATTACCAACAGCCACCCAAGCAAGACAGACATCTAAATTTACCCATCTACAAGGATCAGTAACTTGTTTCTTCCTACTGAAGGACTTGCTTTAAGGACATTCTCCTGTTTACTCTGTCCCACTTCCTATATTAAAATGCCATTTTATGAACTCTTTTAGCCTAAACCCTAGTTTAGTCTTGCTCCCTGTTGCCTCATTCACTTAGCCATCCCCAAACAGCAAGCTAGTGCTACCCTGCACTCTCCCACTCAGGTTTCCCTGTCAACTTAATTACCAGCCAAATTTGCTCACCCACGAGAATGACAAGCATGCTAAAACAGGTCTCCATGAATTCTCCTCTTCGCTTCCCTGTACAGCAGCTGAACACATCCCAGGCCCTGTCAGCTACCCCAGGAGCTTTCTCAGATCCTTGTTATAGTGACAGGCAGCCAGCTGGTTATTTGAACAGTGACACTACTGCAGTTAAGGACACTACTGTCCTTATTTCTGATGAAGTTACTATCGCCTCAAAAAAAAGACAGTGTTATCAAAGCTGAGACCCTGCTATCCACAGAATTCCTTCTAGATCCCACCCTTAGCCTCATTTCAATATATATGGGGCAATGGAAACATTGCCTCAACTTGGGCCTCCCCAAGGAACAGGAAAGCCCAGGGGACACGAAGGAGTAGTCTTCCTCTCTTACCTTCATAGGCTGGAGTTGCATCCTTGTGATCCTTGAAGGGTCTACCACTGGCTTGGGGCGCCTCAGTGTGTCTAGAATATTCTGCCATTGAGGTGGCAGGCCCACAAATTTGCCCTCCTTTGGATCAAAGGAAGTGTGGACACGGTGCTCAAAGTTCTGTGGAGACGAGATCTCTGGGCGTTTCTTCTTCTTCTTGCGGAACATGATGCCTGAATCAGAGAAGGCAATGCCATCAGTACTCTTGCATGTCTAGGTTCAATATGGCCCATCAGTAATATCACATATCAATTACCTAAGTTAACTACGTTGTCTTAAGAACATTCTCCAGTGACAAGCACTTTAACAACAGAGTTGATCATCTGCTTTTGCAGGTGAGGAAATAGAAGCAACAGGAGAGCAATGACTTGCTCAAGACCACCTTGCAGGTCAGTGGCTGAGCTAGGATTTCTAGTGACCTTTTAAATGTTCTGCCCACTGTGAAACAGTGCTCCTATTTCAGAGCTGTTACATCTACAGCTGAACTCCTACCACTTGGGCTTCCTTTCTTTCTACAAATTCATATTGCCCAATATAAACAGTTTATAAATATGGAAGAGATGCATATTTATATTTTACAGGCTTGTACCTAGGTTAAATGGCTTTGGAGTCCAGCCAATTAGACCGCGTTGATTCCACTACAAGTTTGGAATGGAGGGTGGTTATGAACAGGGCTTAGGTTGTCTTCTCACTGGCCACTCCAAGTAAATAATATACATTTGATTCCCATTTAAAGACAACAGAGTTGTTGCCAAAGGACTGATTTTGGATCTCAGTTTTTCTAGCTTAGAGGGCTTGGGAAAGAGAGAAGGTGGTAGGAAAAAAACTCTGTCAGCAGGTAGCTGAAGAAGCTAAAATTAAAAACTAAAATTCCTTTCCCTTGGGGGCTGAGATAGTTTGTGTGAACAGCCATTACAATTCTAAAAAGCTAAAACCAGCTAACAGTTCAATATACCCAAACACGAGAGACATGAATCTAAATTTAGACTTTATAGCCATGCACAAAAAAAAAAAAAAAAAAAAAGGAAAAAGAGAGTTGTAGATAGATAGAAAGCCAAAAGTTTTAGACCTTTTTGAAGCTGGGAAGATATGAAGGAAAAAAAGAACCAGAGCTCTGCACACAGTCATAGAGGTGGGAAAGCTTGAATAACTGGAGAACCGTGATAGATGGACACAGCCTCTTCACAAAAGGTAGACAGGGAAGATGGGGTGTGGGCAAGTTACTATTTCCATGAAGAAACAGCTCAGAGGTAGGGAGGTTTTCTGTGGAGAGCCAGGTTTCCCACAATGGAGAGTGGTGGGCATCAGAGACAATGGGCATAAATCAAAACAAGAGATGTCCTGACTGGATAGAAGGAAAAAACTTTTTTGTGATGAGGAGAGTCCAGCACTGGAGCAGGTTGCCCAGACAGGCTGTGCAGTCTCCATCCACACAGGTCTTCAGGAGCAAGTTTGCTCTTAAAGGCAAATCCCTGAGCAACCTGGTCTGACCCTCAGAGCAGCTCCTGCTTTGAGCAGGGCATTGGACTACAGATCTCTGAGGCTCCCTTCTCCCCTGAATTGTTCTATGATTCTATTGATGGCTTTAAAGTTAAAGTACACCAAGTTACATTTTCCTATTTGCTGTTGGAGAAACATGTTTAATGGGCATGTTACTATTCTGTGGGTGCAATGGAATTGGCATGCCCCAGAGCTCATCATCTCCTTTCCAGGGTGCTTTCTGTCAATGCACAGGATGAACTGCTCAATGAGAGCCATGAGACAAAACAGAGACCCAGTGCCAAAACATTTCAAGTAGTTCAGTGCTAAAGCTCTCTAGCTTGGGAAAAAGCTGTACAGGTTTCTTTAAAGCAATTAATATCCACCAGTGGGGGGGGAAAAAAAAAAAATAAAGTTTATACTCTCCTCTCTTTCCACTGACAGCTTTAATATTAACATTTGCCTCTCGTTAGTACTGCTTAAAGTGATGAATGCTACCCCTTCCTGGACATCAGGTAGAGAATTTTTGCCACAATCTTCAACTTTGTAGTGATGACTCTTCCCCTGTACAGGAGCTCAGCTTGCAACTATTTGTGCTGAATAAATATTTACAAGGGTCAAAAACACAGAACCCATACAGAGATAACATGCTGTGGTGCAGACATGAACACACTTCTAGAGGACACCGGTCTTGAAAAATCAGCACACCTCATGCTTTTTTCCCCACAGTGAAATACATGTCAAACATTTTCCAGGTTTTCCACTTAAAACTTGCTTAGGGAGCAAAGTGCAGCCACCAGGTGAAGGACGACTTTGCTTCCCAGTGCTAGACTGAGATCCTGAAAATGCATGCACACTGGCTTAAAATTTGGTTACCATGATCCTGTAGTCACTGGGACGGGAAGTGTTTGTATGTCGCAGAATGACCCTTACACCATCTAAACCCCCAATCATGCAATCCATCGTTGGTGAAATACAGACTTCACACACTCATAATGTCCATTGCATTACTGTGTCCAGAAGCCTACTAAAGATACCTTGCAGTTGAAAAAGAAAGCTAAAGGTTAGGCATCTGAAGAAACACAAAAGAGGCTGGAAGCAACTGCTCTGTCTTGAAGATGTTTCGCAGCCAGAATAATCTTTGCTTAGAATATGTTCCAATGAAAACCCAAATACATCTCTATGGAGAGCTTATGGGAAGAGCATCTGTGCTCCAGGTCTGTATAGCAACTAGTCAAACACAGTGATTCATCTCTAAGGCCCCTTAGGTGCTGCATATTAACTAATAATCAAGACTAAAGTCATAGGGCAATTCTTTAAGGAAAAACAAAGCAGCACAGACAATCCTGGAAAGGAAAGATATTCTAATAGCTTGTGGTGTTAGTACTATTCAAACCAACAGCTGGTGCTACTGAGGAGCTGTCACAGCCTCCAAGGAAAGCAGGAAGTAAATCTATAGTATTCTATCAAATGCTTCAGTTCTGAATCGTTGACTACATGTCAGTCATGACAGCTACTTGATCGACCAGAACAGGGGCATTTCCAGACAGAGGGATGTTACTATTTTAACCAGTATCCTTCCTCCTTCCGCTCCTACTCTTACAGCTTCCTTCCTCATCTCATCTTCATAAGGAGAAGATATTCAGGGCATAGCATACAGTATCTTTTCAAGTTACTGTAAGGGGTCCTGTAAAATGTGGTGTTATGAATGCCACAACCATTAGCACTTGTATCAATTGTTTTCTGAACATTTCAATCATTTCCCTGTAAGGAGAATGATTCTAGCCAAACTACTTCAAAATGTAAATTTTTAAAGCCTAGGTGATATTTTGGCCCCCCAAAAAAACACTGTCTCTATGCCAGCTTATCAGTTTGCATAAACACAAACATTACATTTGTATATTTACATTAAATCACTATACCTGTCAATCACTACCTGGCCTACACTTAGATCCTACATACCAAAGCATGCTTCCTACACCCAGAAAGAAGCACCTACTAAGTTCATGTTCAATTTTAGGATGACTAGCTGACATGGCCTGCACCTACCTTATTGGCTTATAATAGACATCTTAAAAAAAACAAAATGTAATCAACTCCAAATACAACATACCCTGGGTACTCAATGACATTTGCTTTATATGGTCAGCATCAATCTTTGATTATAAAGACATTGCCGTATCAGACAGGTGGTTTAAAGGTACATTTCATTAAGATCAAATGGAATTCATACACTAAAAATAGTTATTTGAAATCCAATGGATTTTAATAATCTATGTAGGTTTTGCTTTTCATTGAGGTCTGTATTTAACCAGTCTCCTTTCACTTTGTGGTTTTCATGCACGAGCTATTTACTTGTATTTCCAATACCCAGCTAAAGAACGTTTAAATAAAATACATAAAAACAGGCCTTTTCTAATTCAGTAAGAAATTCATAAGAACAGTTTATGCATTTAAGATTTTGTAAATCAAGCCAAACCTGTATTTAAACATAGACAGCATCCCTTTAATATAGTAATACAAATACTGTGACACTGATTTTATAATAATCTGCTAGACTTTAGTCTTTCATTCACTGCTGACAACTGTACTGTAAGAAATGTCACAAACATAAATAATAAAAGTCACTACCACAAGACAAAAGCAGTCGGAGATTGAAATTCTCTCAGCGATCCATTCCTGCTGCCCGGGAAACCACGTTAGATTTGTCAACTCCAGATATAGCTGTTCCTAGATGATACAGTTCCAAAAGCTGTCACATCTGCCAGTGAGCATGAGAAAAAATCCCACAGCCAGCAGATCCAGAGCAGGGGGAGGGATCGGCTGGGAAGGAGGGGCAAGAAGAGAGAAGGGTCAGGCTCAGATGAGAGGAAGGGGTGGGAGGATTAAGGATGGAAGAGAGAAAGGGGAATGAGTTAGGAAGGGAAGGAGGAATGTCTGGACGATAGGCAACCCGAGGAGCAGGACACAGAAAAGCACCAACCCCACTGAAAAAAAGAAGTAGATAAATGTTATCAGGAATTGCTCATTACAACACATGAGTTCAAACACTCAGACAAAGCAGCTAGCATGCACTGTCATTTCATCTGACTTGCCTCCACCCTACACACACACAATTACATACTCCGTTAGTATATACACACTGTACTTAACTATGTTCATACGCTCATTCGCTCACACACACACTTGATTATGAGAAGACAGCAGAGAGCTACTTCAGTCTCACTTGTATAGTTTCCAGTTAAAAATAAGCTTTCCCTCCCCCTCCTTGCTGCAGGGACTGAACTCACTCATCAGTGCCTATTGCACTGCTATCACAGAGCTGGACGCAGCTTGCTACATTCCTCCCGCCCCGGACAAGAGATAATGCTTGGTCCCAGGGCTGAAGAACGCGATTCCCATGATTTCTAAGTATTCCCTCAGCTGATATGCCAAACTACTCTGGCCAGCTACAAGAGGAGGGGGGAAAGGGAGGAGGAGAGCTCTTCCTACAGGACCTGAGGAACTACAATATATGCAGACTGAGCTTGGAGTAGGAAAATGAAGAAGATCCCAGAGATCTCGCCAATTAAAAGGAAAACATATTTCCATATTCTGCTACGCAGGTGACTATCGTGTAATACATTGCAAATGCAGCGCAAGTTAAATAGGCCATTCTCAATGCATGTTGTATGCATATATGCATGTGTTCATGCCTATGTATGTGTGAATATGCACACATGGTATTTCACTGCATTCCATACCTTCTAAAATCCTAATGATTACCCTCCTAAGGTTTCTGACATGATTGTTATTTATAACGAGCCATAAACGTTCATAGCTGTTTGCAGACAAAGAAAAATGACAGGTTTCTTCCCTGAGGAGCTTACAAACCTAAATGTGACTTCACACAGCAAGAAATGACAACAAAAGGTGAGTGAAAGGGGGCAAGAAAAGCAAAACGGTCAGAAATCTGAAATGGGATCTCAGAGCACAGGGCCTTGTCACGATGACACCTTCCACATTTGTCTGAATTTCTAGTTTTAGAAATACTGGTTTAGGTACTTTTTTTTCCCCTCCTAAATAAAGAGTGGATATTTGTTTGCTGTGTTATTGTTTCCCCTATTTCAAGTCCTTTCCTTCCACTTCTGTCCCCCACCAGCTCCCAATGGCAAAACTGTGTGTCAGAGCAAACTGATGGATTGCTCTAAATCCTGCCCAAGCACATACATGAGCGTACATGAAAATATTACATGAAAAATAAGCTTAGGGAGAGACATATTTGTTATATTGGTGGGTTTATTTTTGACAAATGAGAAAAAGACCACAACTGCTTGACATTTTTTTTGTTGTGCCTCCACCGAACCGGGTCTAAATGCAGCTATGGTGCTGCCTCTTTCTCCCCTGGTCCCTTTTCCTTGCTCATAAATTAGGACTAAAACCTGAAACACAGTGAACGCCTACATACTAAGCTTGTTTTGGACGCTGCTCAGTGACACACTTTTAGGTGTGTTTTAGCTATACCAGACCGAATTCATTCTGGGACATATAAAAGTACTTGCAAAGAAAAGACCTCTTGAACTTTCTGAAACCAGTATAGGCATGTCCCAAATGTTAATTGGCTTTTTTTCCTTGACAAATAATAAATGTTTCCATTATTTACAGTCCCCTAGAAATCCCAGCTAGAGTCACTGTCCATTGTGCCACTCTCTGAAGTCAGGCCCCACCCTAGAGAGTCTAAACAGACAAAAGGTAAGGAAAAGGAATTATTATCCTCATTTGCAGATGAGACAGAAAAAAATTACTAGCTCAGTTTCTTCCCAGCTATGTCTAGATTAGCAAACATAAAAGAGTTTCCAGGTATGTCTCCTGGCTGCTTTTTAACTTCATATCAAGGCCATATCCAGGCCCAACACACCCTGGCTTCCATGAAGAGAAAGCATGGGTGCACAGCACCAGTGGGAGCCAAGACATGCTCTGACCACATGTTTGATCTTGACACCAACAAGTAGGTCTAGACACCATGACAGAAACCAGCTGCACAGACAGAAATCACACCCAAACCTCAACTGCAGTCCAATGCCTTCATTATAAGATTAGCCTTTTCCCATCTGTATTTGGTTTTGAGAGGGTTACAGCTAGAAAATACGACTGCAGCACCAAGACAAAGCTGCAACTCATTGCATCCTCTTCACCCAAAGCCAGCAAGATGTGTGCTGCAGTCATAAGGCTGAGACAGAAGCCACTGTAACAACTATGACCCTTTTTCCCCACCTTTTAAACCCTTGATGTGGCTGCGTCCTGCTCTGGATATACAAAACTATACAGCACTACATCTCTGACACCCTTGCACATGCACACTTCACTGTTCCATGCCCAAAAAGTAATTGCATTGGTTCAAATGGGTTTACTGTCATTATTTTGCCACAAAAGATGCAACAGGGTTAAAAACAAGTGGCTGTATTTTGCTGTTAAGCCCAAATACCAAAGAGCTTCAAGCCAGGGCTTGAAGGATATGGGGCTTTACTCTCCACCATCTTGTGTCACAGATCCATTCAAAATGAGCATAAAAAATACTACTGAGATTAGAACAAGAACCTTCAAGGTTCTGCCTCCAAAAATTCACATGAATAGCGGTATCTTACACATCAGATAGGAGGTTATGTTGGGACAAGTGCAAGGGGCCACATCTGGCATGCCGGGTCACATGGCGCACGAGGGAGCCAAGGCACTCGGCTACATCTGGGGAACACACGGCTTCAAACAAAGCACTTTGAAACACAGGGTGCCACGTCCCGCGGCTCTGTCCGAGTGCTGTAACCTCCCTGTGCTCCTCCACGCCACGTCACGGATCACAGATCCGGCTGCCTCTGGCACGCTGGGTTACAAGAGGGGAGCTGTAAGCCCGGGTGCGCACGGTACAGACTTCACTGTAGGGAAGCCCCAGGCAGGAGCCCAGCGAGTCGCACGCTCAGCAAGTGCGGCCCATTGCTGGCGAGCAGACCTGTCCCAGCAGAGGCACCGGCCATCACACACGTCCTGGGTCACAATCCTCACTCGAGCAGCATGGCAAAGGGCTGGCAGAGACACTGCACTGATTCCCCTGACCACCCAAGTAGAGAGAGGCAAGAGTTAAACTTTCTTCCAAACAACACTAAACAATCTTAGTCCCTATTTATGACCATCATGTTCTCCCAAAGTGAGATACATATATATTTAACTGCTGTCAACAGCCTGCAAGGCAGTTTAGTTGTGTTATCCCCACAGGATAACTGATGGGAAAACTGCAGGCCAGGCAGTGTACCCCAAAACACGGAGGAGACAGACTAACTTAAATCCCACAACCTGGCTGACTCTCAGTGCCTTCCTACTCACCACTGCCAACACCAATACAGAAATTTAAATCATAACAGACAAGTCTTCTCCTAGGGAATATCAGTTATTCTGCTGCGTTTGGAAAGGAAAAACACATGCCATGAGTATGAATGTTCACATAGCACTCCATACATTAAAACCTGAGGTACGCTCGTAACACAATTGAAGATAAATAACTGTTATTGTCTACAGCTACACTCTGTTCATCAATTTATTACAAAATAACCTAATCACTAACACTACGAGTTAAAATGGCTTAGCCCTAGAGTAAACGTAATTTCCTGAGGTTTTTTGGGGGGGAAATAGATTTGAACTTTTAGTCTATCATCACCCTACATTCACACTGCTCTCTTATGCCAGACAAATGGAAGATCAGCCTCAAAACAACAGTAGCACCACCAATGACCAAATCTCAGTGAATTAGTCCTCAAGACACATGGTAAGCCTCCTGCAACTTTAGAAACCATGCTGAGAAATTCTTTAAAAACAAGGTCTGTGTCAGCCAAGTCCTGATTCTGTACTCCATTGCACTGCATCCATACAGTGATAACTTAGAAGCCAGTGAGACTGCTGCAGGAGCAGGGTTAGTACAGCAGGCAAGAAAATTGGTCCCCTAGTCCAGAACGTCCCTGAAAGTTTGCTATGCTCTCTCCAGCAGTCACTGCTGTGCAGCACAGCATACTGGTCAGCCTTCTGCTGCTCTTGCTGACTTCAGAGCTGATGCCCTGTACCTATACAGAACTGATGCACAGCTCAATGTGATGAAACTTCAGCATGGGACTTCTGTCGGTGCCCTCGAGAAAACATGATGTGCAGTGCAGAACTCAGAACCTGGCTGAGTTTTCACTTACAGTTGGTGTAGGCTAGTCCAACTGTTTTAAGCAATTTGCACAAAATATTTAGCTCTTTTCTCTGCTTGTGAATTTCCCTAAGCATATTACAGAATTAGGTTAAAAAACGCTTTTTCTGATCAGAGGCAGGACATCCAAACTTTTAAAGTGCTTCTCCTTGGGAATCAGACCATTTGCTGACCAAGCATGAGTTAGGTTTCTAACTTTTGCAAGCCTTGGCAGCAAAATCCAGGATATTCTTTCTAGGTACATACGTACTCACTCACACCCACCTAGACACAAACAACCCCTGTACAGAGAGCAGACTTTCCATGTGGAAGCACAGTTACTATTTGCTGAGAGCTCTTTCCACTATTTGATCAGCTTTGCTACTAAACACATAAATCATTGCTCACACGTAGTGCACAGGATGTACATACCAAGGCAGCATAGAATATTAAAATAAATATATAGCTTCATCACACCATCAAGAATGAGACTTTTCAGCAGGACAGGGAAGAGCCATGCAGCAGCACTCCTTTCCCCAGCAGTTGCATAGGGCCAACTCAGGTTTTACACAAGCACAAAACTCAGAAAAGCAGAGGAAAATTCAGCAAATATCTCTTACTCTATGTACATCCCCCAGCCCCACCTGAGAACTTGCACTCACCAGCCACAAACTTCTCTTCTGTTTTTTCAGTACTCTGTCCCCAAATACATTAAAGCATTAGTGTCCTGGCAAAGAAGAAAGCAATCACATCAGCAAACATTAATGGACAGGTCTGTTTTCTGTAGCTGTAAATACCTGGCTGTGTGTGTCAGTTACCACCTGACAAAAATAATTAAGTACAAATGCCCAATAGAACTGTAGAGTGCAACTTAAATAGGAGGAGATTAGCCAGCTTTCAAATAGCCAAAATACACTCACGCACCCGTACACACACGAGTACTACAACTACAACATAGTTTCAGTAGGTGTGCTGAAAGGATCTTGGCTAGCACAGCAGCCAGGAGGGCAGGAATACAGACGTGAGAGGCTTTAACCGGGGAGTCAATTAGTCCTCTTCATAAGATATGGTGAGGGTCCTTGCAGATACAAGAGACTTAAGAGGAAATATTGCCATGTCTCACATAAAGGCAAAAAGCATGCATGTTCCTGACATGCTGTCTGCTTTCCCAAGCATCATCCAGAGTAATTTTAACCCCTTCTTCACCCCAAAGTTTTAAGAGCATCACCCTGCAAGATTCAGCAATGCATTTTCCTCTCCGCATTCCCCATCACCTTGAGTGTCAATATGCTAAATCACTAGACCCCAGGCACTGCAGACCCATATGCAGGCCCACCTAAAAGACACTGGAAAGCAAAAACCACAAGATCTTACTGGTAGTCCTGCTGCAACAATGCCAGTAGAGGACAATTCCAAGTGAGAGGAGAAAGAAGGGTCTGGAGGGAAACTCTCCCACTGTCATGCAGCAAAGCCGATTGGAGGATGGTGTTGCTGGGCTATAGGAGTAAAGATGAAGTAAACTCCTTCCCAAAGGAATCCAGCTCCTGGTTTTTCTTCCCTTCCAGAACCATCCCTTGAGAGAAAAAATTGTATGACCCCCTGAACCATTCCCCTCTCACTTTGCCCTAGGCTGGCGCTGCCAACACCTGTGTGATCTTTACACTAATTCTTGCCAGTGGCGAGGCTTAGCTCCGAAGGGAAGGGGTTAAGCCGTAGCAGCACAGCCACTGGGGAGTGAAGATGTTAGTTTAAACTGACAAACCCAGTCCTCTGTAAACAGAGGAAACAAATAGCACAAAACAGCGGCCATTAGGATGGTGCTGTTACTGCTTTAAAGCAAGCAAGCAAGTCAATGTCTATCCCCAAATCTGCGGGAGGGAGCTTACCCCTGACTCCTCATTGCTCCGTAACCAGAGGTGAGGTGGGAATGCTCTGCCACAGTGATCCGCTGACACGCCGATAAACTTGAGCGAGAAAGACGGCAGGAGAAAGCGGGAGAAGAAAAAGGGGTGGAGGCAAGTCTGACATGTTTGTACAGTGCCTGGTTCACCTAAGCTGCCGAGTTTGATTTCAGGGTGTGGTAGTGGATGGGACACACAAGCACTCAGCACGGAGAAGCCTCAGATTCCTGTTCCAAGGAAAACGACAGATGCCGACAGCAGAGCCTCTTGGGACCATCTTGCCTTCTCCTCACTGTTGTCTCCTTTTTTGGTCCCTAGAGGGGATGAGAGAGAGAAAGAGCTCAGAGTCACACCTGGGCACCGAGATCTGCTGGGTCTCAGGCAAGAACCTTGGGGAGATCACCTCCGATTCCCCTCCACCCTTTTTTAACCCCCTACTTCACTGCTGACTTATTAAAGCTCTGACTTGCTCGTTAGCTCTTCTCTCAGCTCCACAGCCCCAGGGCCGAGAGCTGCTGCAGTTTCTAACGAATCCCAACATCTCTGCCTGTGTCACCTGGCTGCAGATTTCAGGACCTGCCACCAGTTCCTTGTCATTCCCAGCAGAAAAGCTTTGATTGCTTTCTATATGGGTGGCTATAAAAGAATTCACCAATTTATTTGCATTGCAGATGAGCAGCACATGACCTGGCATTTTTACTTTTCCCCTGTCGCGCTCTCGGCATGAGTCAGTGCTGTGAGGTTTGAAGTCTAGTATCACCCTGTAATCCTGTTGCGCTGCCTGGGCCGTGCCTCAGGGTTTACCAACTCCTGGAAACAGACATTTCCACAAGCGACTTGCCTTCAGGAGGACACCAGCTCCCCCATTAGCAGTGGTGGATGGGCGTAGGTGGAAGGGGGCATCATTAGAGGACACTTTGGGGATTACAGCTCGGGAGAGGTCAGAGTTCATGTCAGCAAACCCATCAGCTGCTCTTTCTCCACTGCAAATAAAGAGGATTCTTGGCATCTCCAAACCACTAACAATGCTGGCTTAACCCTAAGATATTTTTAGGTCCAAAGAGCAGAGATAAAAGCCTTAAAAATCCACCCCCATGACCTTTTAATTTTTTTTTAACGTTGGTTTTGTTGAACTGCCCTTAAATAAATGAATGACATGCTGAAAATCACAGAATCATAGAACAGTTTGGGTTGGAAGGGACCTTAAAGATCATTATAAATAATCATTAGGCTGTCAGCATTTCTGCTGGGAGTGGCTTGTCCAGCAAAGGTGGGCCAGCCCAGTGGCCTTTAGTCATGTTCCCCCTTTTCCATTTTCCTTCCTACCTATTAATCCTGCCTAACAAGGCTGCAGTGTCTTTGTACAACCATCAGTCACAGATCTAGTTGGCGTGCACAAGATCTACAGAAATATTATAGAGAAGGAACAGAACTGGGGTTCATATAGAGGACGTAAAGGAAACCCTGACATTGTTGCTGATGGTCTGAGGTTCATAATCCTCAATTCCAGACCTGCTAGCTAAGCCGTGGAAGTCTGCTTCCTGAAAGTGCAGTCACCGTTTCTACGTTACACTGCAGGTCCTTGCCTGCCAGAGCCTGCCAAAGAGACTGAGGTTTCCTGCCTGTTACCTCACAGCAGCGTCCCTAGGGTATAGGAAATAAAGTTAGCCAGGTCCCTTTCTGTCTGAGGATTAGCTTGTCTCTTCCTACAGGACAGGCCCCATACACAGATGTAATCAAAAAAGGAAAAGGTCATGTTAATAGTAGTAAATAAAAACTACAACCAAGAGAAGACAGTGTTCTTCCTAAAAAAGACTGAAGCTTGCAAGGCAGAAGCAGTGCAGTGAAGGATGAGAGATGAGGAAACAGCATAATCCTGCTAGGCGTGGAGGAAAGGCGACAGTGAGTGCCAACCGTCATTGTCATCTATTGCATCTGTGCTTTGCTGACATGCCCATCCGTGAGGAGCCATCTACGCAACGATAACTTTGGGAGCATCACAAAGAAACGTCATTTATATTCTATGAGGAGTCACCCAGGCTTGGGACTGGCTTCAGATTTGCATAAATATTATATTTCATGGGCTTACATGCTACGACAGTCTTCTAGAACAAGACACAAGTTCTTTATAAATGGAAGAGCCTGATTTTACTTGTCAGGACACAAGCTTAGATGAAACCAAGGCAGCTTTGAGTTGGTGTGAACCCCTAATGCCTACAATCTTAATGAAGTATTAGGATACTTTCCAGTCTTTCTATTCACAAGTTTGGTCCCAGCAGTCCTACATACTTTGAAGAAAAATTTCCCAGTAAAAGTGATGCATCTCTAATTTTCCCCTTTAGCAATTGTCCCTTTATTAAACATTTCAACTGCTCCTTCCCTGCCCACTGCTCCCTTCTTACCTAGAGAATTGCACAAGATAATATAAATAATTATACTCGCACATTTATATAAACACATGCATACACACCCCACTCCTCCTACGGTTGCTATACTCTCTGTTGCTCATTCAGGTCCTGTCTGTCTCTGCTATGGCAGCCATAACTGGCAAGCAAGAAGTGCTGCAGGGTACATTGACTAAATGCTTGCATCGCAGACTGCCTGATTTATCTACACAGCAAAGGCCATTCCGTATTCCACATCCCCTCCCCAGACACAAAGTGTAGCAAATTTCAGATCAAAATTGCTGATCTCGCCTCTTTTCTCACCCTGCCCATCCACGTCAGTGCTTCAGGAAGGCACCAGCACCTCATGTCCTGCGCTGCTGCTGCAATAGATTCCATTTAAGCCCATTTCATCTCCACTGGAGTGGAATTTTGTGAGAGAAAAAAAACTTCAACATTTTGCTATGCCGACAGGCAAGACTGGGCACTTCTAAACTACAAAAAAAAAAAGTTAGAGACCAAGGCCAACTCTACCATATATGTCTGTCTTCTGCCTCATCCAGGAGAAACATACTTGGCCACCTGTTTGGAGCTTGTGGGAACTGGGAAAGCTGTTAAGAAAAATTTATCGTGCTTCAACAAAGCTTCCGAGAGAAGCCTAATACCAAAGCACAGTAAATCTGATATATTCAGGAAATCCCAGTAAGAACTAAGGCAATTCCACCCATGGATCTAGGCTGTGGTTCAGAGCTAGACCTTCTAGCAGGGCTCCTCTGAGCTCTGGGATTTGCTAGGAGGCACAAATGTTCTTCCATCAAAGAAGTATAGTCCCTCTTCTCTTTCATTGTTCTTGAAATCCAGAGTAAACTGGCCAGGAAAGTGAAAAAATACACCAACAATCAGGACAAAGGGGTCACTACGAGAAAGGGTGTGTTGCAAATTCACAAAGCATCAGCAGCAACTGGTGGGAGGAAGCACAAGATAGGAATCAAGTCTGCAAGTCTCCTAATCAGCACATGACATTAGCCAGGACTGGAGATAAGGAGGGAGCAATCCAGAGGCAGTTTCGCTTTAAATAAATGCTTACAGTTTAGCTACCTTTCCCCAAGGCTATTGCATTCAGAGGAGGGCAGAAAATTTCAGGAGAGCACTATTTGGATTGCCAGCTCTAATGTTAGGGTTATCCTCCTGCTTACTATCCACTGCTGACATTAGGAAGGTAGTGTCCTGGAGATCCCAGCAGGACAAAGCCTTATCTGCACTCCCACTGCATGAGCTCATTCAGTGTGCTTCTAAGTGTCTCCAAGGCTTACAGTCTAATCCAGTTTCCATTTTTTTTTTGTCCCCATTCAAAAGAAAAAAAACAAATGCACCAGAGCTGAAGAACTGGAGGTTGGTTTATCAAGTTCATCACCTCTGCCAGAGCACTGCATGCTGTTGTTGATCAGGACATAGCCCCACGCTCAAACCTGGCAGGGCAGCGTGGTGCTTGGATCCCCTCTTCACCGTATGCACACCGCCAACTACAACGCACGCTGGGTCATGCGGAAGACGAAAAAGTTGTGCTGCTTCAGGCTCTCATTGGCACTAGAGCAGAATCACAGGCAGCTCCAAGGGTGGAGCAAAGCACAGCCAGCGAGGAAGTAGCATGGGAACCAGCAAATTCTGCCAGAAGGAGAACACTAGGCTGAAGCAGTGAGAGCTGAGAACACAGGCAAGAAAGCAGATTCATCTTAAAGAAAGTAACAAAACTGCAGACTCTCTTTAAAAATTTTAACTCCCACTCTGATAAGAAGTTGAAACTGAAGCTCAAGAGGATCACCTGAACACAGCACACGCTGTTTTGCTACTGGTTAAATTCCTGTGGCTTGGTAGACATTCCCTGCAGATAATATCAATACGGCTTGGATCACAGCCATCTCACACTTCTTCCAGATCTTTTACTTGCAAAAATTCACAGACCTATTAGGTTATAATAGAAGTAACATCATGCTCCACCAGACAAGTCTGTGCTACCCTCTACGAAAGGTAGATCTGCTGCTTCCCACTGAAGTCAGGACGATCAGTCCTGCAACAGCATCGCAGCAGAAAGTCAATGTAGCCTACCCTTTTCACAGATTCACCAGGTCACCTTGGGAAAGTCATTTTACACACCGGTAAAATGACTGTGATGATGCTTAACTCCCGCAGAACAGAGGCGGCTTAATCTGTTGTTTTTTCAAGCATGTTGCAATCCTTAAAGATTCTATAGAAATGCAGATTGAAATCCCTGGCTGCCATAAAAGGAGTACAGACTACAGTTTCTATTCAGAATAACTAGGTCAGTCAGCTATTGCAAAAGTATTAAGCAGAATTCAGAGAATTCCTAGTGGCTAAAATAACAGAAGCAAAAGTCTAACGCCATTTGCTGTTATTAGTCACTCTCTACCTCTGGGTACGTTCAAACCCAACTCTCAAGAGCCTAGAATAATTTGAGGGCTGGATCTTATGCTTGTCAAAACGTAGCCACGTGGCTCTGCGCAGCACACGCTCCCATCCCACGTGCTGCCTTGCGGAGGCAGGGAGCTGAACACGGGTGGCCCACCTCAGAGCCACACTCTTAATCCTGTGACTGGGAACAGGGGTCACGGTCACCCTGCAGCAGGTGCAGGAGGGTGCCTTGTCCTACGGTGGTGCACGGGTAGCCTATTTTGGGGGAAGGCTGGTAGAGGCAGAGAGCAGCTGTTTGAATGGAATCCAAGGAAGAGGAAGGGTTGGCCATTGCAATGCAGATGAGTATCCAAAATTTATCTCAACTCTCTCCAGTTCCTGAAGCAGAATTGAGCATTTGCTTTCCTCTAACTGTTGAGCACTGATGCATGCCACTTACTCATACTTTTATACAGCAGCTCATTTCCCCTGGCTGTGCTGGTACAACTGTACCTGCAGAC